ACTGAATAATTTAAATTTAGCACTTTTCCTACAATTTTTCCATTACGGCCTATTTTAGAAAAAAAAATATATAAACAAAAATTATAGAGATCGATATCGCAAACAACTTTTATTTCAACAATTTTCATAAAAATCAGAATTTTGCACATTTTGTCAAATTTCTGGAATACGGACCATTTTAGGAAATTTTTACATAAGGCAAACATTATAGATAATAATATTAGAAGTAACTTTTATTTGAACAATTTATTTCTCCAAACATAAATAACAGATATATTCCATAAAATATAAAAACGGCCTTCCATAAAGTACCCCCCCAGATGTTCCGACTTTGTCCAAAATCTAATCATTTCACGTCAGGCCGAAATAAAACTTAATTTTAAAATTTAATGTTTTTTTCTTTATCCGTTTTTGAGTTTTCTTCAAATTTCGAAATTTACACATTTTCTCAAATATCTCGAATACGGTCCATTTTAGAGAAATTATGTACGGAATAAAAATTATAGAGAATTATATTACAAACAACTTTTGTTTGAACAATTTTTATAAAAAAATATTTTTTTACATTTTGTCAAATTTCTCGAATACGGACCATTTTAGGAAAATTTTGTGTAGAACAAAAATTATAGATAATAATATAAGAAGTAACTTTTATTTGAAAAATTTTCTTCGCCAAACGTAAACAACAGATATATTCCATAAAATATAGAAACGGCCTCCCATAAAGTACCCCCCCAGATGTTCCGACTCTGCCCAAAATCTAATCAGCTCATTGGACGCTGGAACAAAGCTTAAGTTTAAAATTTGGTGTTTTTCTGTGTATCGGTTCATGAGTTATGCGACACACAGACACACACACGCACGCACACACGCACGCGCGCACACACACACAGACATCATCGCGAAAATAGTCAAAACGGATTCAGGGGACCTCAAAACGTAAAAATCCGTCGAAAACTCGAGGTAAAAAAAAATCATGATTCCTATACTTTCCTTATATCTGTATACAGATAGGAAAGTAAAAAAGTGAGATAACTACCAAATTAATGATTTGCAAATTGCTGATGTGGAATGTTATCATCGACTAAAAACTTTAAATCTTTGTATTAAATTGATAGAGAACAATCCATAAATTAGTTTAGACTATATAGAATGTTTCTAGTAAGCAGCGACTAACTTTTATTATGAAACCGAAAGACCCTTTTAAAAGGGTTCAAAATTAAAATAAAATATGTACCAAGTAAATGTAGTATTTTTTAATTTTGAATCTTGAGAGATGCAGACATCTTTGGATAATTTATATTGAAAATGGTAACATGAAAGGTTTTCTGTCTAATTGTAAGTGACGACTCATAGTCTCTGCTGACAAAATGTAAAAAAAATATCAAACATAATATTTCAGGGCGAAACGCAACTGTCCCCTATTTTGCACTCCTAAGATTAAATTTACTTGTCAGGTCAGAAGCAAAATCTCGTGACTATAGCACTAATGATTACCGAAAATTAACTAATTCATATTTTATGCCATCTTTCTTAATAAGGACTTTCAGAACCATATTTACCTTACTTGAATTTTTTTCAACATTTTTTATATAAAATCATCATCTCTAAAAATGTATGACTTCCAACCTGAAACATCGTGTGAACTATTTGTTCGATGAATAAAAAAACTTGCACCGGTCCTGTCCGAGCCAGCACCGTTATGCGCATGAGCTTCGACACACTATTTTCTCCTTATGATTTTATTTTTGATATATGGAATTGGCTTTCTATACTATTTATATGGTCTAATCCAGCCATACTCAACCTGCGGGCCGCATGCGGCCCTCCAAGCCTTTCTTTGCGGCCCGATGCAACATTATTAAGAAAGTGTTTTTTAAAATATTGGTTCGTTTTTAAAATCTTGAGCGAAACTCGCGAAAACATTCATCAGTTGCTGTGCTAAATATCATTCTAGTTTTTAAATAAACATTTGGATAATGGACTTACTGCAAAAATAAAATATCTCCACTTTCTGCATTTTCGAGTTAAGTACACTTTCTTCTCAAAAATAGTTCAAATAATATACGGTTAAACAAGACAACTGTAAACGAAGTCTATATTCATGATAAAAAGATGGTCAGCCAAAACTAACCCCATATTAATATATGTGCACAAACAAGATGAGTGGCATTTATACCGAAATATAATCACAACATTGTGTTCAATTGCTAATAGTGTATCTACCAAAACCAGATAAGATACATGTAACTTATTTTTGCTAAATGTGTTTAGTCCGATTCCTAATAGTGTTTCTGTCGAAACAAGATAAAGGCCAGAATACTTATTTTTGTGAAAATATTTGTTGAAATGCTTCAACATTTTGCCCACGCCATTTGCTTTGCCTAGAGCTGTCTCTGGTCCGAAATCGACAAGGTGATTACGTCGCCCTTTCTTTCCACGATACAGTACAGCTAACATAAAAAATCACGTGATGCCCGAATAGTCATGGTGAATGATTGATTGGTCAAGCTGTAACGAGTGATTGGTCAAGCCGTCTCCATATTGTTTGCACGTTAAAACGACCAGAAGCACTTGCTTGAAAAACAAAAGCCATTCTAGCAGAGGAGTGCCTAAAAGGGTGAAAAAAGGCTCTGAAAAGTGCCAAATAATGTAAGTAATGCCAAGAAAAAATATTTACTAAACCTGATGAATTTAACCATTAACATCCAGAATCTACCTGTATCCAATAATGTTAAAGACACTTCCTTAACCTTCCACAGAAGTTAGTGACAGACATCGAATATTATGACTTGCACTGTGCACATGGATTCTTGTGTGCGAACTCGACACGATACGTATCGAATAGAGAGAGACATTACATAAGAATTCTAGAGAATCCTACTTTTGTAGGCAGCTAAAATAAGTTGTGACGTTTCTTCTTTTTTTTGTTCCCAATCGATAGATACTTAGTTTATATTTGTAAAGACTTGTTTTAAATTCCTTTTTTTTTATTGTAATTGTTTAAACAGTGCTTTTACTTTTTTTTTATTCCATTTTAAACATTTAAAGAGCGTTTTCTCGAAACTCTAAAAATGTGATTTATCTTGTTTTTGCAGTAACCCTACGGGATATTTGTTTTGTGGTTGTTTATTAAAGGTTTCCACAAACAAATTTTAACATACGTATGTGGCCCGAAGAAAAAAAGGTTGAGTATGGCTGGTCTAGTCTAATGAACTGAAAGTCCAAAACGTTTTTACATCTTCATCTCTTCTTCTTTATTCTTAATTCAGTATAAATTATACCAATTACCAATAACACATTCAGGGAAAAAAGTAAAACTACAATAATAGCATTAGCTGTAATAATATATTTGAAAGAAAATGTTCGGTCCTTTTGTTACACATCACCTTAAAAGTATAACTGATCTTAAACTTTATATGTATAAATATGTACAAGGTACTGATGTATTTTTTCATTATGATCTAGTTCAAGGTCACTTTAAGTTAATTTTGGAGTCATCTATTAAAGTTACTGTCAGTTACAAGTTTCGTTTGACGAACAGAACTTAGTTTGGTTACGTTATTATTCAAATAACGGGGCCATAAAATAAAAACGAAATGTAAAATAATAATGTAATATATTTCAAAACAAAGAACAATCTGTTTCAGTCGACATGATTAATTTTTTGGAAAATATAAACTAAAAAGCAAAGTTCATTCCATTTAATAAACAATAGATTAAGATGAATAATTATGACTATAAATAATACAAACAACAACTTTAGTTTAATCAGAATTAACAATATTAAGATATTAAGTCGTTTACAATGACTGTACAATATTATGAAATTTTTGGAAATTAATATTTATATACCTATTCCAGATTTAAATTCAAAGAGCTTAAAGGAAAGTATGACATCCAGAATACCCACCCTGGAAGTTAGCTGTTATTGTTAACCGTTTATGATATACAGCGCTATTTGTACACTTGAGGACTCTGATTAAAACATTACCGATATTAACATTAATATATTTCATTATTTCAACTTTTTGTTGAATCCACTGGAAAAACTATATAAGTAAACATTATAATGTCGTATGACACCATATACAGTGCGTTAATACATCCGTCCTACAAAATAAAGATGAGTCGCTTAATTATATTTGGTCGTTAGTAAGATAGAGAGCAATTGGTTTAACCTCGTCTTTTTAATGGCAATAATTGGACATTACATGTATATTGCCATGCTCCTGTCTGAGATAAACAACGGTGTGATGTAATGTGCTAATTCAGTAGGCGAGTTCGGTCAGTCAGGGGCTGGAGCGGGACAAATTTTAGGGTGCTTTTAAATGACATTTAAGCGTGTTAAACTGTCACTAATCGGACTAAACCTAACGGTAAAAGGGTCGTTTGGAGTTAAAAGTGTTAAAGGAGTTAGGAACTTGGCAGACCGAACGCAATGTCTGTGATGTCATTTTGGTTCCACTGACATTTATTTCTAACCAAACTTTTAAAAAACTATCAAAAAATTTGACATATACGTTTTTACTGTTTTTAGTTTATTTGTAAATATTGTTTACAGGTCATAAAAAATAGTATTAAAGGTATTTAATTGGTAACTAAACCATTGTATATTTGATGCATGTTATCTACTTACTTTAGGAATAATATATTTATAAAAGTGAAAAAACGATATAATTTAGGTAAACACAACGAACAAAACGCACTCAAAAAATCTACTGTCACTTTAATTGTCAGTGGAACCATAATTACATCATCACTGAACTAGCCACATACTTTGATTTTCTTTTACTATACGGAGAATGGTCGCACTGCGCAGCTTTCTGAGTGCCTTTTAAAAGGAGATAGAAAACTCCGCCATTTTGAACCCTTATTACGTGTTGCCTACATCTTGGCGCAATATTTTTAATAGGTGCGTTTTAATCATCCGCTTCTGCTTCGGAATTGTCGGTTTTCTTGTTTTAATCTGACAGGTTAAAACGACTAAACCGACAATTCCGGAAGCAGAAGCGGATGATTAAAACGCACCTGATATTTTGCTTGCTGCTGTCAGGGTCAGTGAATATTATTTTTGAAGTCACAGTTTATTGCTAAAGAATCAGTTAGCTCACTCGGACCAGTTAAAAGTTCCAAAATAACATCCACTCCAGGGATACAAATTCAGGATACGCAGAAGACTGCTGTTTTATTATAGGCGGTTGTCATATATTGTATTATCCGAGTTGCACAGTGTATAAACTGGAACATTGAGATCAAAAGTGCCGACGCAGAGTGAGCGATCTGATTCTCTAGCTGTAAACTGTGTCACAGGAATCAAAATGGCCGCGCCCTATGTTGGGCGTGTCGGACCTCTCTCTTGCCCCGTATAGTAATCAAAGTATGTGGAACTAGCGCATTTGTGTTCCACCGACAGTTATAGTATGTGAGCCAAAGACCTCCATACCTACGTTATAGTATAAAGGTTAAAATGCTGAATGTGTGTGCACATTATAGTAGATAATAACGTTTGGGTGTAATGAATCTGGACTACGGGTTGGTTTGACAAATAACAAGTCCTCAAGGTACAAAAAATGTTATGCGAAAACGTTATAGTATAAAAGCTGATTTTTTAATATGTTCAACTGCATGACATTATAATCTGCAATTAACAATAGGCTGACAGTTCTGGCTGCGAGTTCCGTCTACCAGACGCTTTTAAAGTATCGAAAAATGTCTGTACTTTATAGAAAACTTTGTTATTGTTAATTTTTCAGAAAATTTTATTCTTGATACCTAAAACCCACTAAAAAATTTGAACCATAACGAGGGAGGTAAATAAATATGAATTTAGCTCAAGAGTGAAGAACCTTTATTTTAAATAAAAAGAGAAAAATGTTACTTGAAAAATCTTTATTTATCAGAAATATGAGCAGTCTGACATATCCGACGGGTCTAACAGTAAAAGGTCAGACGTGACTGTGAGCGAAGGAGCAACATTTATGCATATAAGTCCTAGTGAGAGTATTAGTCTTCCTTGAACAAAAGTCGAAGTTCGGTTACAACTTCTCTAGAGTTCCATGTGGTGCCAGTGTTCGTTGGAATTTAGAGATGGACAATAGCAAATCCGTAACTGGTAAGTACATTTACGGATTTGTTACACCCATCTCTAAATTCACGCGATATAACCAAACTTCGATGTTCGTTCAAGGACGAATCAGCCGAGTCGGACTCACTGAAGATGTGTTTATAAATACGGGCCCTAGTGAGAGTAAGCTGCTACTGATATACCTACTTTGAACCAGTAAAAATTAAAAAAAGTTAATCTGAACACACTTTTACTAGTAATTTTTAGTAGGTATTGACTGAGCTGTTCTATTAAAATCTGGTTTTCAGGGCCGGGACTAGTTCCGGGGCCCGCCAGCGGTATAAGGGGGGCCCGGCAACCTGATATTTGTTGGTGAGTTCGGCACAAGACTAGAGAGGTATTGTTTTTGTTTGAGGAACTTTTTCTTATTAGAAAATTCAATTATAATATAGGAGGAAAAGTTTTTTTTTTTTTAGAAAATTAAGAGGGTAGAAAAGTGTTATTGCTTGAGTTTTTTTTTTTTTTAGAAATGTATTCAAGAAGAACAGGAAAAGTTATTGTTTGGAGACCTTTTTTTTTGTCACGGGGCCCGATCTGGCGAATTGTCCTGGGGCCCGGCCTGGATCTCGGCGGCCCTGGTTGGTTTAACCAGAAGAGTTTCTCCATTTATAATGTAATGTCGCTAAATTGATTGTAATGACTTAAAAATAAATTAAATGGTGCCATTTACTTTTCAGAAAAGATATTGTTTAAATTTTGAAACAGTCCTAAATTTTTATTGGCAAAGTTATGTCATTTATTGTGGTAGGGTGAATGCGCCTGTTAACCGGCCACCACCAATTATCGGCCATTTTTTCGTTTTATTCGTTTAATAAGACCTCTTATATTTAAAATGTATTACATAAATACCCCCTTTCGGCCAGTCTTTCTTACATTTCCCGCTTAATTTCAACTACATTTGACAGAAAGAACAAGTGACAGTTTCATTGTAAAGATGGTGCCAACGTGATCAACAACAAAAGTGTAAGTTTGTCAAAAAAAAGTGCAGTGCAGAACTTATTGTAAAATAGTAAGTATCTTTTGTTTCATTAAATCTAATTATTTTTTAGTATGAACATTTAGTTCTAATTTATTTAATTAAAAAGTCATTTATATCTATAAATGCTGGACAAATTAGGTAGCCGATAAACTGGGAGCTTGAAAACACATGCTACCCGTTTTCGACCGGAGTAGCCGAAAAAGGGCAAAAATAGAGGAATTATAATGTCTTTTTCTAACGTTATTAATTTAGATATAACTTTCTTATTTCAACACAATGTTTTAAAGATTATTCGAAAACCAGAATCCAGTTTTCGATCAATTTTTTTTTAAAATGTGCGGGAAATAGAAAAATATGTATGTATTGGCCGAAAAAAGGTACAAAAGTATAAAACCATGTAATTTAAATCTCCAGAGCAAATTCCTTTTGTCGTCCTCTTGTTCTGAATTTTATTTTGTTTAATTTTTTCAGATGGCTCACGATAAAAAGAAACGCCAAATGGTGGTCAGAAAACAATTTCAGAAGAGAACATTTTTTACGTATTCTAATGATTCTCTAAACCAAGATCAATTTGAAATAAGAGAAAACAAATAGTAGACAATTTGGAGTATCTCAAACAACCATTCAAGATAGGTTAAAAGAAAAAATTTCAAATATGAAAAAAACAGATATAAAGAAAACCGACTTAATTGAAACAGTGACTAAAATTGCAAGGGACACAAATAAACTGCATTTATTCAAGAATCAAAGGCCTGGGCAAAAATAGTTAGGGAAGCAGAATCCATTAATAAAGCTCGCGCTCTAATAACAGAGCAGTATATTAAAAATTGGTTCAAGGAATTGCAAGATTTTTTGGAAAGTAAAAATTTGACCGCAATTATGGAAAATCCACAAAGGATATTTAAAGGGGACGAGACTGCCCCAAGGGCTGGAAAAATTTATACACAATTAAAAAAGGCAACAGTTTTCATGAACTTTAATGCACATGGAAAAATGTGTCCACCTGTCGTTGTGTTTCCATATGTTCGTCCTCCACGATCACTGATAGAAAGTATGCCACCAAAATTGGCCTCTTAGGGAGATCTGATAGTGGATGGATGACTGGAGAAGTTTTTTTTCGAATATATTTCCAATGAATTCAATAAGTGGCTCACCGAAGAAAATATTCCAAAACCAATTATTTTATTCATCGATGGACATAAGAGTCGTATGACTCTACCACTAAGTGAACAATATCATTCTTTATGCGCTCCCTCCTAACTTTCACCCATTTACTTCAGCCAGCTGATGTAAGCATTTTCAGACCTCTCAAACAGCAGTGGAAAACCACAGTTTCAAAATGGCTAAATCAACCAGAATATGTAAATGTTACAATTACTAAATTAAATTTTTGCAGGGTTTTAGATGAGACACTAAAATCCATAAATTTCATAAGCTATGTAAGAAATGGATTTCGGAAGTGTGGTTTATATCCACTGAATCCAGATAACGTGGATTATACTAAGTGCGTCAAAAATATTCTAGAGAATAAACAACAACATTCTAAAACTGAATCTAAAGTAACATTGGAAAATTTAGAAATTGCCGAGCATTGTATCAGGCAAACTGAGCCAAAATTGTACTCTTATGGCATAAATATCCAAGTAATTTACAATGAATTAGATGAGTTACAACCTAAACAACATGAAATTGAAGTTGGAACAATTATTCCCATGGAAGCAATTACTATTGTTCCCGTACAAGACATTATTCTCAATGAGCCTGAAGTTTCTATGGAAGTGGAATCAGAGCAGCATAGTCAGGATATCCGCGACTCCGAGCAGTCTGATGGTACTGTGAAAGATCTGGTTAGTAATGTAGCAGATCAAGCAGGATCTAATAGCTTGACAGATGAATCTCCAGAGGAAATTGACGGTGCTTTGAATACCAAATCTAGCGAAATGCAACACAAAAAAAATGAAACTAGAAGTATAACAGAAAATAAACAACCTCCTGAAGAACTGGCTAACAATGTAGAAATGACTAATAATGCTGTTTTAGGAAACAAAAGCAGTCAAAATGGAGAAAATGGAGCGTTGAAGACCATCTTTCCATCCAATGACGTACTGCCAAAAAAGATCGATCCATTTGAAGCTCATTTAAAATTTCCACTACCTTCCAAAAAATCAGAAAATAAAACACCAAAAGAAAAGCTGCTTAGAGCCATTTCGTCTGAGGCTTGGATAAAGTTAATTCATCAAAAAGAAGAAGAAAAGAAAGAGAAAAAGCAAGATTGAGAAAGGAACAGAGAGAAACTAAAATTAAAAAAGAAACTAAACGGAAAATTGAAAAAAAGAAGAATACCAGAAATATAAATCGATAAGAATATTGAAGGATTGTTTAAGGAAAAATGCGGCAGCCTATGTGAGGAGGAACTTATTAGTGACACAGAAGAGGATGACAAGAAAAATATAGGATGCGACTTTTGTCCTAAATGGTATCACTTAAAATGCACGAACTGTGTGATTTACCTTATGAAATAGCGTCTCTAAGGATTATAAATGCGATCTATGTAAATAACATTTTTAAACAAAAAAAAAACTTACTTTTTTAACGATAATTTCAATTTTGTTTTTAATATATTTTAAACTCAAGAATGATTTATTAATTACGTATTTCCTTAAAACTATGCTGACTTGAACTGGTTGATATCTGTGTTGTTTTGGGCCATCTGGTCGAAAATTGGTTAAGTGCTGGCCGGTGATGGGCATATGAGGGTCAAAACTAGGAAATTTTTTGCCTAAATATTTATAAAAGCCTTTTTTGTATCAATTTATAAAAAATGCTGGTAAATAATGAATCTTTAAACTTAGTTTTATTGGTATGGAACATAAAAGATAATTAAAATTGATAAGAGAAATAACTTTTGAGTAAAAAAAATACCTTAAGTGGTCGACAACCGGCGCAATCACCCTATAGTAAAAGTGAAAGTGTATAGCGGGACCTGATTTTTCGATATATTGGTCAACAACAGGCCTACCGGTCCCAATTTTGTAAATCAAAAATAGTAATAAATAACTTAGCCTTACCTTAAATTGATATATCACTGATGTGATCGAAGGTTTGAGGGCCGATCCCACCGTTGTGTCTAAACGAAGATTAAAATAACATTTTTACATTAACAATGTCATTTTAATCTTCGTTTAGTAATTTAAACTCCTTTAACACAACGGTGGAATTGGCCCTGAATGACAAGTATGGAGTGTAGAAGAAAGGAGGACAATCTCACACGGTTGTTTATTTCAAAAAGTGTCACCCAAAATGTATAAAATTTAGATGGCGCTCGTGTACTAGAAAGGAAAGATCCAATGATATATAGTTACATAGATAGCTCACCCAGATGTAAATCAGCACTATTTTTGTTTATTATCAAAATTTCTCTACGATTGTGAGCTAAGTCGCTTTTTACGAGGGCCGTTCATGATGTAGTTTTTAGGCTATACCCTTTGAGAATATGTACTCTTACCTCTACACTCCATACATATGGGTAAGCAATATGTACATCATTGGTGTCATTGTGTGATCTGAATTATCGACTGTCAGCGTCCCTCTGGTACAGAAGCACCATCTTAATTTTATACATTTTGAGGGACACTTTTTATAAACATAGCTAGTTCTGCTTACCTATACACTCCATAGACATAACCTTCAAATAAATGTACATTGCACATTTAGAAAATCCAAACCAATAGGAAAAGTATTCCTTAATGGCCCCACAATTAGGTATTCCAAACAAAATGGCTGCCAGTAGGTAATGACAGATTATAAAATGGCAACCCTATGATTTTGGCCCGTTCTGGTGATGAAATATTCTATTTTATTGTTTTTTTTAAGAGTTGGAATTTGAGAAAGCCGCTCTCCTCTCAAGAACTTCTAAAAGAAGTGGAAAATCTATCCAAAGAGGAGTTCAGGGACTTTTCGGACATTGATCCTGATTATAAAAATTCTGACAGCGAGTTGAGTGGGACATCCAGTGATGTATCCAATGATGAGTCGAGTTCATCAGATAATGCAGAGATAATAGAGAATGAAGATGATGAAAACGATACTGCGCCAGATCTTCCAAGTAATCAATTTAAGTTTTCTTGGCGCGACTATTCTGGAAATCATCAAACATTTCGATTTAGCGGGAATGAAGGTATTCAAGTAGATTTAGCAGAAAATCTGACACCCGTTGATGCATTTGATCTATTTTTTTCTCCTGCGCTGATAGCTCTTTTAGTGGCGGAAATAAATCGCTATGCGGCGTATGTAATTTCTAATACAAATGTAACGCGCAAATCAAGACTAAATCAGTGGTACCCTACAAATGAACAAGAAATACGTAAATTTGTTGGTTTTTATATTTGGATGGGATTGAACAGTCGTCCGACTATAGCATCATATTGGTCAACCGATTTACTATACAAAAATCAAGTGTCTCAAGTATTATGAAGAAATCGTTTTGAAATGTTGAGGATGATTCACTTTAGTGACAGAGAAAATCAGTCAAATAATGATAGGCTTTACAAGATCAGACACCTGTTCTTGATATGCTGAACAATTTATTTCAGCAGACTTATATCGTCGGACAAGAAATGGTCATAGATGAAAGTATGATACTATGGAGAGGCAGACTAAAGTTCCGTCAGTATATACCATCTAAAAGTCACAAATATGGGGTAAAACTGTTTTAAGTTATGCAGTCCAAACGGCTATACATGGAAATGAAAAATTTATACTGGCCGAACTGAAGAACAACGCCCTGCTGGATGAAGGTAGAACACTTTACACGGACAACTTTTATACTAGTTGTCCATTAGCTAGGAGTCTTCTAACCAAAAGCACACATTTCGTAGGTACGCTTAAACGATCAAGAAAATACCTCCCAAAAGATGTCACGACAAAAAAGTTAAGATGCTAGGGATGTACTTATGCTTTCCACACTACACGGAATTGAGATGAGAGTTCCTCCGCCTTCAAGTAAGCGTAAGAGGGCACTGTCACCAACAGCTAATGATGATGAGCCCACCCGGAAAAAACGAAACGAAACATCAAAATTAAAGCCAGACGCTATTATTACTTATAATAGGGGAAAGTGTGGTATTGACAAGTCTGACCAAATGGCGTCCTACAGTACCTGTAATCGACGAGGCGTCAAGTGGTACCGAAATGTTTTTTTGAGTTGCTGACAGGCATATCCGTGGTAAATGCATTCAACATATACAAAGAACAGTCCAATTGTAAATCAAACATAAATAAATTCAGAGAAGACGTAACCAGAAGTTTATTATTTGGAAATGATGCCAACAGAAAGTATCTAGTGATACCGAAAGTAGCACATTTATTGAAAAAAACCGATGAGAAAACTCGAAAGCAATGTAGAACTTGCTACATCAACCTAACAAAAGAAATGCCAAGAGCAGAAGCAAGAAAAAAAGTAAGAAAAGTCCGAACATATTGTGATGGAAAACCTACAATGTGTAAAGACTGCCATATTAAAAATCATAGTTCATAAGTTACCTATTTTTTTAACAATTTAAAAGATTTGAAATAAAAAGTTTTCTATAATTTCAATTAAATGTGGTTTCATTTGGGTGCCGTCGCGCGCCGTCAATTTTTTTTTACTTATAAAATTCAGCACCGCGGTCCTAATGAGCATACAAAATTCAATATAAAGTCGGTCGAAAAAGCCTGACGCGGCCGTGCATGATACTAGTCGGCCATAAATGACTGACAACGCAAAATTATGCATAACAGTCAGTCAGTCAGTCTTATTCGACTGACAAAACAAAATAAAATAACCAAAATTAGTATGCCGGCAGTAAGAGTGTTACAGTAGACAAATTTGAGAAAAAATCTGAAAATTTTGATTTTATGAGATTTATTAGTGAGTTATTAATGAGTTTAATATTGAGAATATCTCCATAAATATAAACTTTATGAAAAAATCAAAAGAGACCTTTTTTGTAGAAAATTTTATCTCCTACAAAATTGGTCTCGTTTGAATTTTTTATAAAGTTCATATTTATGGAGATATTCTCAATAGTAAACTCATTAACTCCATAAAATAAATCTTTTCAGATATGTTCTCAAATCCGTCTACTTTAAGAGATATTTTGAAAAAACCACGATTTTATAAAAAAATATACTTCAATCGGCACGTGTTCTTGTTAAAAAAAAAAAAAAAAAATCCCCCGTATTTTTTCATCAAAAGGCGTCGGAAAAAATTTATTTTTTAACGATCACTCTAATATGTCTTATGTGATTTTTTGTAGAGAAAATAGATCATTTTAACCCCTCTGTTCAGGGTAGAGACTGGCACAGGTGCAATTTGGTAAAAATTATTACATGCCTTTGGAGCATATTTCATTTCGTTATCAGATAACGGCCGAAATTTGCGGTGGGTTCCCCTACTATTAAAACTAGTTTTTATTTAAAGATTTTTTTAGAGAGACCTGAAAGGCGAAGGCCCTTAAACTGATTAAGAATGATAACCAAACATAAACTATTAAACTAATTTTTAAATGTAATAATCGCATATGTAGGTCACGGTTCGTAGTCAACACGGTTGCCTAATCACGGTTGCCAAGGACGCAGTTACGTCACGGTACGAATAAGTGAGTTCAGAAAAAATATTCTACTTGGGGTCCTATTTTAGTTTTTTTAAAAATCTAATATTTTATTGTTATTTAATGTGGTGTTTATATTTTTATTTCTGAAATTTGTTCAGGTGTTAAGAGTTTTTATAATATCGGTAGTTTGATATTTTGAAAGCTCAGCTACAAAACAGTAAGGAAAAATCTTGTAATGATTTCCATCAAATTTTAAATAAATTACTTTTTGTTTGAATTATAAAAAAAAATATTGTGTGAATAGTTTATTTTAAAATTTTTTGGTTAGGGTACGACTTCCGAGCCGAATTCGGATCACACTTTAATTTACTTTTTACACACAAAAATAATAAAGGGACTAAATCTAAACTGAAACCAAAGGCTAATGGTAAGATTTTAGTGTATTATTCTGCAAATATCATCCACCCTACATTTAAAAGCAGACGAGATAGTTTCTTACAAGCATTAAACACAACGAAGAGCAACAAAAGTCAAAGGGCTTTACTAAAAGACAAAAGGGTGTGTTATAGGAAGTTTTTAGTAAAAAGTAGTTATAAATAATAATAAAAAATGTATGTTCTTTTACTTTGACTTTTTTTGCTTTCGGTTTTTTTTTTAATGTTTGTAAGAAACCATATCATCTGCTTTTAAATGTAGGGTGGACAAAGCTGCAATTAATTTAATAATAGTGAATGATATTTGCAGAATAATTGCTCTAAAATCTTAACATTAGTCTTTAATTTTAGTTTAGGCTCAGTCCCTTTTATTTCTTCTAACGATTTTTGTGTGTAAAAGTAAAAATTGTTTGTCACTAGCAACACTAGGGCTCGCTCCTGGCTTGCCAAGCTGTAGGATAATTAATCCTTAAAGAATACCTTAATAATAATCTTTTAAAACCTTCAGAAAAGAATGTATCGAAATTTAGAAGAGTTTCAAATTGATTTTTTTTATTAGGGACAAAATGCCATAGTTCGTTATAAAGGATGAAATTTTTAGCAAAATTATCAAGTGAGTCCAGTATTTTTTAAACATTTTTATTTTTATTAGAATTTGTTATAAATTTTAATTTTTAGTAACAAATCATAAATCGCGCTATATATCATAAACGGTTAACAATAACGAATACTGTTAGGGATGTTCTAGATTTAGATGAGCACATTTTACTCCCCCTAAAACTAATTCCGTTTAAACTTGGAACACTCTGTATACCGTGAACTGATTTTACATAAAAAAAAAAACATTTAAAATAAAAATATTCTTTATATTATTTATTTATATTTCATATAAATGTCTTTATATCAAATGTTTTTTAGTTGTAAAAATATTTATGGTGAATTTGTTATAATAGATGTGCAGCTTTACGTTAAATTGTACAAGCTTGTAAAACACCTTGATATTTCATAATATTAAATTTGCGTAGTGTTTTTTATATTATTTACATTAAGTACCGCATTTAAAATTTCTACTAAACTAAATAAAATTTTTGTTTTAACCAAATAATTTAATTAATTTTCTACAAACATTGTTTTCAATAAATAATCAACTAAAAGAAGGCTAACTAGAGCGATTACAAAAGTCATATTATCAAAATACAGATTTTTACCATATATCACGTTTTCCGTATACATACCCATAAATTTTATCATTGGTCCCATCCGGCCTACCTTCATCGGACCTTTCGCTTATTTGCATTGCAAAATCAAAATTAAACATTATCGCCATAATAATAAAATGTGTATGTTCATTGTAATTGTAACCAAACTTCGCTCTGTACACTTTTAACATGTGATCACTACAATTTTTTGCTAAGAAATTTTGATTTTTTAATGTTAAAATTTATTTTTATAATTTGGTTGTTCATTTGATTGGTTTTGGACAATTGGGACTTTAAAAAATAATTTGGATTAGTTTAACTTCAAACTTAAATGCTGTTTGATATTTTTATTTAGTTTTAGAGGCATCGGATTGTCATTTTGGACGGTAATATTTAGAGATTATTTTAAATTATATATTTTAATTCTCATTTTTGAAAGCAACATTTTAATTATCATTATTAAACTCCAAATTCTTAACGCCTTTTTTATTATCGTTTTCCGACGCATCATTTTTACTAAAATCAGTCTATTAATTTTGATATTTGTTTCGATATATTAAGAATGATACAAATATAATCAGTATATTTTATGATATGATTAAAATAATTGATATTATTAATATACTACGGGGAATCAAATATAAACTGGAATTTTATTTTTTCAATACGAGACGTCCTATTTCATAACTTTAACAAAATAAATATTCGATTATTTGAAATAATTCGAGCTAATTTGTAAAACTCATACTTCAAAACATCAACAGAAACCATAATTTGGACAATGATATGATCCAAGAAGCTATGTTAGAAAGTACTTTGGACACAAAGGAGTTCGGTTACAATTAGTATCAGCTCTGATCATACTGCAATATCCTATAAATTCCAATTGCCCTGTCATTGGAGCCTATTTATCATTAATAATTGATCCGAATGTACATATTAGAACTGAAGTAGTGAAAATAATTGCTCGTAACATCATTACAATTCCCAAAATTATAATGCGAATAAGATATACTGACCATATTGTTATGATGGCTGCATTCAGGAGGTGTGCTGACATTGGTCCAAAGAGATCAAAATTATTGAAAGACAGCACATTTTGGAATGTGGTTTGGCAGAAAGCAATCCAAAAGTAAAAAAATAACTTTATTGAAAATGTAAAGGTTTAAAGATGGATGCCTGTGAAAATGACGTAACAAATACTGAAAATAGTACCAAAAATATTATAAATCTTCTATTCAATATCACATCAATTAAATATATAATTTCTATTCTACCTCTAAGTGAAGAAAAAGTGATACCTGTGGATAAGTTGACAAGTGAAGCAGCAGGTCTATGGAATTTAATTGTTTGCTATCTCAGAGAAACTGACATAAATGAGAATTATAATTGAGCCGATTATTCCTGAACTCGCCCCATTTTCTAATTACAAACATAGTATTATGACAGAACGAGGCAAAAAAAAAATGGAAGAATGGGAACTTTTGGATTATCAGTACAGTTTAAACAGTCTATTTGAGGAAGGTTATGATTAGGCAGATGAGGTCAGCCGAAACATGTTGCATCAAATAACTCTAAATTTCTTGAGAAGGTAATTTTGCAATTGAAGCTCAGGAAACGCGTCTTGCAATTGGCATACAAATCGTCGCAAAAGACGGACGGCTTTACCAACATCATCTACCACATTATCTACGACATTCAAGAACCTTTTCAAATAATAGAAAATCGATAATTTTCGGTTAATCCTTAAAATTATTTCCAAATAATAGGAATATCAACTATTACATTAATCGTTATTTCAATATTATTTAATTGATTTTTAATCTTGTATTCGATTGTTAATAATGTATCGATTATTAGTAAATATCTAATTTAATTATATATTAATAGTCTTTTATAATATCCAATTCTCGATAGGATTGGTCGATTATCAAAATGAATAATCGATTATTTAAATTACTGTTTTAGAATAATCGATTATTTTCGATTAATCGATTATGTTCCATTAATCAATTATTTTCAAATAATAGAACATCGATTATTTTCGATTAATCATTAAATTGATTATCTCCAAATAATCGAATTATCTATTATTATATTAACCTATATCGTCGCCGTAGAGGTCAAGGGAGTCAAGCCACAAATTTGGTGAAAATGAGTTAAGTGCATAGAAGTACTTTAAAAACATTAAAAATTCCATGATCAATGTATTTGAGTCACAATATGTCCTAGTTTAACGAATTTTTACATTTTGTCAATAGACCTCATCAACATACACCATAGCAGTCAATGAGGCTAAGCTTTAAAAATCGTTTGACTACCAACGATTTCGTCTATCTTATTATGAAATAGAATCAAGCGGCTTAACACTTTTGATCACTACAACTTTCCAAGCAATGTTTGGCCAGAAGTGCCTGCCAATAGTGTCAACTTACATTTAATAATTTTCTTCTGTCTTGCTCTTACTCGCCAAGCAAAACAGAGAAACAAAATACGCTTCTTAGGATGTCCTGTTGTTTACTTCAGTGCTGGTATTTCTAAGAAACATGGCTAATTATTGTTTAGAATAATTTGTGTTTTTTTGCTTTGATACTGCAAGATTTTGGATTTACAACGTAAATAAATGTACTTAATGAGAGTGGTGAACAATGAAGCTTTCAAGTGGGAAGAAAATGGTTGCAACAGTTTAAGTCATTAAATATTCAGTGTAGACGGTGACGAAGTGTATCCATAATAGACGTACCAAGATTGTACTACATCCAACTGAAAATAGACCGAAAAAACTGAACGACTTGTTAAAGCTTTGCCAGGGAGGTAGCATTCCATCCACTTATCATGACTATCAGAAAAAGTTGGAACCTGAAGACGGTTCTTTTGAAAAAGCCAGCAGTTTAGAAACTGATAAAGGCAGTCAGAGTGATGAAATAAAGTGTGTATTGATTTTGTAACTCATAAGGTTAATTTTTCATTTTTTTTTTTTTTTTTTTGACAAGAATGTTTTGATTTTGATTTTTTTTTTATTGGTAGCTTTTTTCTGAGCAGGGTTGCTGGTTAATGATTGAAAAATCATCAAAAATCAGCTAAAATATTTATGTTTGTAATAAGTGTGTGAAGTTCTACAAAAATATAAGTAACATTTTTTATCTATGGATTGATAAAAAAATGTTTTTAAGAGTTAGACAAAAAGTATATTTTTTACTCCAAACAAAGCTACGAGATTACTCTGGAAAAAAGTGTCTCAGGCGACTAATTTAGCGCAAATCAACAAAATAATACTGTGTGTTTAGAGTTGTCAACATGTATAGGAAGCTTGACTCTTTTGAAAACCGTACATGCAATGTAAAGTATATTTAATTTCTTAGTGGTCAAAAGGTATAACACACACATATTTTCAAAAGTAATACATTTTTTAATCACTTTTATTACATCAATAAAAAGAAAATGTCAGGATCTATCTGTATTCAAAATTTCAACATTCTATCTTTGAAAACAAGAAAATTTAGCACAAAAATCTTATAATTTTCTGGCACATAATCTTTTGCAAGCCGTTTTCTCGAAATTAGGATTTTGTGTCCTGGCACTCTTGACATATACGGCGACGATATATTGATATTATTTAATTGATTTCTAATCTTATATTATTTTATTGTTATTAAGTTATCGATTAGTAAATATCTAATTTATCTATATATTGATAAGTTAATTAAACGATCGTTATAACATCGAATTATCGATAGGACTTGGCGATTGTTAAAATTAATTTTTTCCTTGTAGTTCTTGGGTTTTAGGTGTTGGTTAAGGAATGAAACTCGTGTATGTGGGTAAAGCTTTCGGCACTGATCAGTGCCTTCTTCAGTAGTTTTTTTATTATTAATATTTGTACATTATTTTAACAGTCAAAATTGTTCTACAAGAAAAAAATTAAAAAAAAATTTTTTTGTATGGGTGTTAGTAAATAAGTGCGACAAACTTCAGGGGGTGGTTCTGCATGAAAAAATAATGACAATTTGCTATATAAACGTATGTCTGAAAATGCTTCGTTTTCCGAATACGGGCTGTTATAGTTTTTCTTAAAAACTGATGATTTACTTATTGCTCTGAATCCCGTCGAGATATGCAAATGAAATTTGGTGGGCTTTAAGAGGTAGTTATTGCGCATTTTTTGACATGCATTTAAGAACTTTATATTCATCATTGGCGCGCATACGGGTAATGATCTCAATTATTTTAAAGAAAAAAAATGGTACACCACTGAAATATTTCAAATTTAAAAATCACTTTTGAGTTCCTCGTTCAATCTGTGACAAAAATCTTTTCGTATGGGGCATATCTTGACCGGTTTCAGAGCAATAAACAAATCGTCAGTTTTTAAGAAAAACTTTAACACCCCGTATTCGGAAAACGAAGCATTTTCAGACACGTTTATATATCAAACTGTCATTATTTTTTCATGCTGAATCACCCCCTGATGTTTGTCGCACTTATTTACTAACACCCTGTATATAGTTCACATTTAGTTTTTATTCATTATATTTTTGGTCCACCTTTAGTACATGTTGGGGTGTGTCATCATATTTGTTAAATGTTTGAAAACCTTTTCCTTTTATATTATTATTATTATTATGTAATCGATTTTTATCATTGTCGTGTCCGTTTTTGATGCTGTAGTATCCATTGTCTTTAGTCTCGATAGTAAGGGTGTTATTACCCCATTTTTTCAGCTTGCGGGCCCTCATAGAGGTCCGGGATTCAAAAATTTTAATTTGGTTTTACGGTTTCTTTTGGTTTTATTGTTCAACGACCATGCGGTTTATTCAAGATTTGTCAATTGACAGGGTTGAAAGTTGTTTAATTTGGCATATGTCATTTGTCGTTTCTTCTTCTTTTTTTTTGTCTTTTATCGTTAGTGCTGTTAGGAATAATAATAATAACAAAAAAAAATAGTATTATATAAAATATTGTACCAATCATGACCCTAAAAGGTTTTCAAACATTTAACAAATATGATGACACACCCCAACATGTACTAAAGGAAGGCCAAAAATATAATTAATAAAAACTAAATGTGAACTATATAAAAAAAAAAACAAAAAAAAATTTCTTTTTTTTCTTGTAGAACAATTTTGACTGTTAAAATAATGTACAAATATTAATAATAAAAAAAACTACTGAAGAAGGCACTGATCAGTGCCCAAAGCTTTACCCACATACACGAGTTTCATTCCTTAACCAACACCTAAAACCCAAGAACTACAAGGAAAAAATATAAATAAAGGTGTAAGAAAAAAAACTTTAGAAAAGTAGGTTTCCTTTCATAAAGTACCAATATTAAAATAAATAATCAATTATAAATTATATTCGAATAGTATATTATTATCGATTATTCAATTAATCGATTATTTTATATTATTCAATTAATCGATTATTCAATCAATCGATTATTTTTGATTTTCAATTAATAGATTATTTTAGATTATTCAATTAATCGATTATTAATCGAGTAACGATTTAAAAAAAATCAAATCGATTACTAAACCGATATATCGATTATATTGCCCACGCCTAAATATGTCATCGAAAATAAAGGCATAAGTTATAGCAAAAAAACCAACTAACTCGTTACTTGAAACACATTTTTCCATCAACACCTGATCCCTTTAATTACACGTTTCGACGTTGTGAAATTGATCTTTATATTTTATTTTGATGATCAATGCTTTCGATTATTTTAGGCTCATCGATTATTCTCGATTAATTGAATATTTTCGTTTATTCAATAGTTTTCGAATATTTTCAAATAATAGAAAATCGATTATTTCCTATTAATCGTTAAACTGATTATTTCCGAATAATCGGATTATTGATTATTAGATTAATCGATATTATTTAATTGGTTTAAAATCTTTATTTTAGATTATTCTTACTTTATGGATTATTAGTAATATTTTCACCCTTAGTGAAGATTTTATTATTCCTTTCTTCATTGAATGATATTTCCACAGATTTTTCAATAAAAAGTTCTTGTACGTCCGAGGCAGATTATGTTGGTAAAGTCGTCCGTCTTTTGCGACGATTTGTATGCCAATTGCAAGACGCGTTTCCTGAGCTTCAATTGCAAATTTTCCCTTCTCAAGAAATTTAGAGTTATTTGATGCAACATTTTTCGGCTGACCTCATCTGCCTAATCATAACCTTTCTCAAATAGACTGTTTAAACTGTACTGATAATCCAAAAGTTCCCATTCTTCCATTTAATTTGTCTCGTTCTGTTATAATACTATTTTTGTAATTACAAAATGGGGTGAGTTCAGGAATAATCGGCTCAATTATAATCCTCATTCAGTTTCTCTTAAGATAACAAACAATTAAATTCCATAGAGCTGCTGCTTCTTACCGTGCCAACTTATCCACAGGTATCACTTCTTCTTCACTTAGAGGTAGAATAGAAATTATATCTTTAATCGGTGTGATATTGAGTAGAAGATTTATAACAATCTTGGTAATATTTTCAGTATTTATACTGTAATGTCGATTGTCTAATGATTATTTGAAAATAATTAAACATTATAAAACGATCGTTTAATTATATTATTAATATGTAATTCAATTAGATATTTAGTAATAATCGATAAATTAATAATAATCAAATATAAGATAAAAACCAATTAAATATATCGAAATATTAATTAATTTAATAATCAATAATTCGGGTATTCGAAAATAATCAATTTAACGATCAATCGAAATTATCGATCTTCTATTATTTGAAAATAATTGATTAACGGAGAATAATCGATCAATTGAAAATAATCGACAATAATCGATTAATCGAAAATAATTTATTATGTATGTGATAATAATGAGGTTGTAAGACTGGTACACTTCACGGTATCTGAGATAGCGATACCCGAATCAGCAATGGCAAACTTGTATTTCATGCAGAATTTATTAAAATTTTATTAATTTAAAGCTACGTTCATAAAAGCCAAAAAAAGGTTAATTTTGGTTCCTTTTAATTCCCGAAATGTTGTGGCTATTACAAAGATTATTAGAAACAACTTAAAAGAAGAGGAGGAATTCGTAGTACATACAGACGACAAGAATACAACATTGTAGATTTTGTCACTTATATTTCAACAGTTAGTACACAATCTGTAGCTAGAATGTGATAAGTTGTTTAGAAAACAAAATGTGCCTACGTACATTTGTTTCTAAATTTTCAATTTATATATTCTAATCTATAAATCATACTTTAAGTTAATTTTAATTAACCTTCGTTGTAAATTTCTGAAGCAATACAACTATTTGGTGAAACAGTGTATTAGAAACTCAAATCTCGAATGAGAAATTAAAACTCTTAGGAAAATGCCTTCAATGATATCCATTTTAGTTATTTAAACATTTATTAGAAAACAATATCATTTCAATTATTTTGATTTTTTTCATAATATTTCTGAACAAGTTTTATAATGCCAGAAGTGATTGTCACATTTTTGTAGTGATCATTTGTTAAACAGTGCTCTAATCACAATATTTTAAATTTATTCAAATAATGTCAACATTTTAAGGTTCTTTTGCCATTATACAATTATTATAAATAATGTCATAACAATATAAGATAAAAAAATCGTTTTTTCTCAATTAAATTTCGTTTTGTAAATGGCCTTAAGAAAAATACCTATAATTAAAATTTAAATTAAATAATTTAAAATTAATAAAATATACATGATATACATACATGATACAATATATGCAAACTTATTTTCTAGAAAACAGGGCGACTGTTTTAAATAGTTTCAAAAAGGAGAACCAGTGATACAAAAATATTTTGAGGTTAATGAAACAAATTTTATTCTCATTCGATTCTTTATCCTATTTTTATATTTTTTTAAATTATTTGGAAAACATTTTTTAAATAAATTCTAAATTTCCTAAAATATCATCTTTTCTTATTTATTAAGTTTCAAAAGTCTCAATTTTAAAACTATTTAAAACGCCACCTTGTATAATATGCAAAAATAACAATGACTTACTATTTGTTGTTAATTAGTCTACATCCACAAACCACAATCGGATTAGAGATGTAGGCATTTCTTTTTACTAGGCCTAAATTTCTTTTATTCAGCATTGTACAAATATAGCAAGTTGTAAATATATAACTTTAGCATACAATATTTACAAAGAAAATATACACTATGTACGAGGAATTTTACTAATGTAAAAATATTCTTATAGTACTGCACCCTCTAAGTATAAGTCGACGATTCGATCGACATTTTTTTTAACCAATTAATGAAATGGCTTTTATTTCTAAGTAAAAATAAATCAATTAGCTAATCTACTTTGTAGCATAGGAGCACACCGCAAAATGTTCGGTCGATGACTAGTATTGCTAAATTTTCATGGAAATGTCGGTTAATATATTGTAAAATAGTAATCCGTCAGCAGCTGTGCCAATATCGTTTGCGTTTTACATTATATAAAAATGGACCCCCTTAACGCATCGCTTTTTTATACACCTGGCTACCGACCATCATCGTTTTTGTTGAGGGTGGCTGATGGGGTTGAAAATGACTATATCGACGTCGTTTCATATACTGCGCTAAAGCGTTCTTAAAACCTGGGCTGCCATTATTTTGGGCGCTCGCGATTTTCAGTAAAAGTCTGCTATTTCTATAAATATTTATATTAACTGTTGTTTTCGTTTTTTGTTTTTATTTTTAATTATATTTAAAACATCCTTGTAAATCTAAAGTATGAGAAATTAAAAATTAAATAATTTTCAATAGAACCAATAAAATTAAAAAAATTGCATTGGTTGTGGATTATTTTGTTTTTTATTGAAGTAAACCGATGATTTTTGTTTGTAAAAATTGTGTTTCCAAACAGAAACACTACAACTCGCTCATAAAGACAACCCTGTTTTTTCAAACGCTTTTTCAGGGATACTAGACATAACTAACAAAAGAAACAACTTTAAACTAAAAGATCCATTACCGATGCAAGCAAATCAGCCACAAATGCCATATATAAGGAGATGACACACATAAATATCAACTATAAACATCTTGCATTTAATGATTACGGTACGAAACGATGCCCAAAATCCTCCAGTCTAGGCAAGAGGGACAGGGCATGTAGATGTGAATTTATTATTGTTTAACACTGAAAATATGGGTAGTTTACGTTATAAGCCCGTTACCTAGATCTTTACATGCGAGCGCCAGCTAGCACGTCATATAACAGTGCGAGCACGTAGAGATCAGGCAACGTGCGTGTATCGTACAGCAAACTGCAATTTACTACGTTTTACAACCTAAAATCTAATAAAATTTGACAAGTTTCCGAATATGACTCAAAATAACTGACAACTGTTGATAAAAAATTTACCGGACTTAACAACCACAATATAACATTGCAATATATCATAAATATTTTTAACTTAACTACAGCTAATAAAATTTCAAATTATTATAGGGTATAAACAAAATGAGATGGATTCAGAGGCTGTACCCTATAAGTTTCCAAAAAAAAGCAATGGGTGGAAGGTGGTATTATTTAAATTATCAACAATTTTTTATAACGTAAAACGCAAACGATACCAGCGCTACTGCCGACGGAATACTATTGCATAATATGTTACCCTACGTCTCCATGAAAATTTAGCCATACTAAGGATCAACCCAACATTTTGCAATGGACTCCTATACTATTAGGAGTCCCAGTAAAATTTAAGTCTGTCAAAATCTAATCAATTATAATTCAATAATTATATTTATTATTATATAAAATATAAATTCATTATTCTCCAAAGCAATAACAAAAGTCTATAATTTAAGGGTTTATCCATATAACGAGAAAATAAACAATTACTTAAATAAATAAAGGAACATCTTAAATAAATTAAAAAAAGATTCAACAATTGAGTAGATATTGACAAAGGTTCTCAAAGGCTCACTGTAAATATAAATATATTATATAAATTCAAAATATAAAACAGTATTTTCTCTCCTAAGCCTTATGACTTGACGATGACCGATCCATTGACAATACAATTGACTTGGTGCGTTCTTTGGCATTCATTTACTTACATCTTATTTTTCGAAAACCAATTCTAACTTTCCCTCTTCAGCCTTTTGATTCCCTCTCGAATGTAGCGCACTAAATCGATAAGGGAGCTGTGCATGGTTAATGGTTTACACTGTCTGTCCAACTCTATGAAAAAATCTGAAATAGGAAAAATACTTTTAGATTGAGCTCCAAGGATAATGCAAAATTAATACAAGTGTAATATTAATTTTAATAAATTGTTCAACAAAAAATCCACTTTTTACTGTTCTGATATTGTCTCAAGAGTGATAATAGGTATTTTAAAATACAGGGAAACAAATCTAACCTCGTTGAGAAATAACTGGAGAACAAATTTCTTTTGAAAAACTATTAATTGAAGATATCTACTTTAAACATACACTACCCGATGTATCCTAGTAGTCCTCTAGTACCAATGCAAATACGTTACTCCAAATGTATAATTTTCACTCATAAAACAGAAAATTGTAACACCCCCATTAAATGTCAAAAATGTGAAGAAAAACAATTCAACAAGTCCTTGTGATTCTCCACTACCAACAAAATGTGCTGCATGTGGATCTTATGAACATGAAGCTTGAATAGTTAAATGTCCAAAAATGTCTACCCAACCCGTACCAGAAATGCCAAATACCAGCATTAAATATATGAATAAAAAGTCATCAGTCACCACAGACAGCAAAACAATTCATCAACGAATAACTGTTCGCGACCACATAATTGATACTTATGTTAACAAAGCTAATAATCCAAAAAATACTGACCCCCAAAGAATTGCTTATCAGACTTAAAAAACGATTCATTAATATGTACAATATCGATACTACAGCAATTTTTCTGGTAACCATATTTACATACCAATCGAATCATCAGAAAGTCTCACATCGTCCACACATTAAATTCTTATATGCCAACACAAATAGCTTCAGCCCCAAAAAATACTTAAGTGCTCAAAAATAATCAGACTGTCTAATGTGTGTAGATAAGAGAAATGATATAATAGTCCTACAGATATTGGTCCAATAAGCAATGAAATAGGAGAGAAAACGGCAAAGTCCCTAAGACCATTAAGTCTTATGTGCTTTGTACTTAAAACTTTGGAAAAACTGCTAGATACGAGATATTAGTTCAGAGGCCAATATACCAAGACCAATACGCCTATAGTGCAGGGAAATCAACTGAAACAGCTCTTCATAAATTAATAAAAGGGGTGGAGAACACACTGGAAAACAAGGAGGAAAACAAGGAGCATTCTTGGATATCGAGGGTGCATTTGACAATACCTCCGTTGAATCGATCATTAGATCTCTCAAACACAGAGGAATCGAGGACACATGCGTGTCCTGGATCGACTCTATGTTAAGGAAGAGAACTATACACACAATCCTTATGGGAGAGACAATAGCGGCACGGTAGCGAGAGGATGTCCGCAGTGCTGTCTCCACTCCTGTGGAACCTTGTAATGGACGGGCTCTCAAAGATATGGGACATAGAACCCTGGGATATTCCGTTGATCTAGTGATCATGGCACAGGGAAAATACAAGACTATAGTAAGAGATCGAATGCAAGAGGCTCTAAATATAGTAACAAAATGGACAGAGGCGGAAGGATTAAACATTTGCCCAAACAAATCTGACATAATTACATTTACCCGCAGGAGGAAATTGGAGGGACTAGGGCCTCTAAACCTAAGAGGTGCAAGCATCCAGCTTAAGAGGAAGGTAAAATATCTCGGGGTTATGATTGACTCGAGACTTACCTGGAACCAGCATCTAGAAAAAAATACAAGGAGGGCGGAAACCTCGTTAATGATGGCAAGGCGATCCTTTGGAAAAAAAATGGGGCTTAAAACCAGACATGGTATATTGGCTTTACAACATGGTGGTGAGACTGATAATAACATACGCAGCTTTGGTGTGGTGGCCAAAGACACAGCAAAGGAAAGCAATAATGAGGCTAAGCAAGGTACAAAGACTTGCCTGCCTCGGAATAACGGGGTAATGAAAACAACCCCCACAGCTGCAATGGAAGCACTAATAGGGCTCCCACCTCTTCACTATGTGATACAAGGGGAGGCAAGATTAGGTGCTTACAGATTAAGGAATACACTGGGAAATCTTGACATTAGGTCAGGTCACATGAGTATCTCAAGGTTAGTGACAGGAGACATGCTAGACATGAGATCAGACCACATAACCAAGAGGTACTCTTTTAATACTCCATTTGAGGTTTTAATACAGGAAAGAGCGGAGATCACCATAAGGGAGTCCAATGCCCAACGACAGGGACAAACCTGGTATACAGACGGGTCTAAGACTGCGGAAGGCACTGTGGCGGGAGTATTCTTCAAAAACCCTAATACTAACCATAGAACCATAGCTATGCTATAGAAATACATTCCTCGGTATTTCAGGCCGAGGTATACGCAATTTTGCAATGTGCAATAACGAACAATGAAAGAGTTGTCGAAAATCAGCATATTCAAATAATTTCAGACAGCCAAGCGGCACTTAAGGCCATATCGAGTCAGAAAGTTACGTCGAGGCTGGTATGGGAATGCATCGAAGAACTACGAACACTAGCAGACCGAAATAGAGTAAAACTATTTTGGGTGTCAGGTCACCAAGTGATCGAAGGTAACGAAAAGGCTGACGAACTTAAAAACAGGGTCAGAAGAAATACCGGAACCAGACACAAACCCAGAAGTACCAAAAAGTACAGTCCGGGGTTTCATAAACGACTGAATTCGGGAACAACATATCAACTATTGGGGAAGCACTCCAAAACAGGCACATGGAAAAGCCTTCATAGGCAGACCATGTCCCAAAAGAACTAGATAACTACTCTTTATGAATAGGAACCAGTTGAAAGTGATAAGAGGGTTTATGACTGGGCACACCCCAGTAAAGGGGCACTTGAACAAAATTGGCATGTACAATGGGGAACTCATGTGCCAACTATGTCACAAGAAACCAGAAACGGCCAAACACATACTGTGCGAATGTGAAGCTCTAGATCGCAAAAGACAGGCTCTTTTTGGACAACCCTAGGTTGATCCAACAACATATAGAATCCGCTCACCCAAGGTACTGTACAAACTTGTACAAGGTACAAAGGTGTAGGTGCTATGAACTAACATGGGGTAAAACACAATAAGCCAATAGGCTCCAGTGTTATTCAGAGAGATAGTCAGACGAGCCCAGGAGAAAAAAAAAATAAAATATTGTAAACACAAACGGAAGGTAGTGTTTGTATGAAAAAAGAAACCCCACCAAAAATCAACAACTGACTTAAGACTATATTGTGGTGATAATATGGGCTGGGTTATTACAGTCTGTTCGCTATACTTACGCGGGTTTCGGATTAAAAAAAATTATGCAAATTAGTTGACAACCAGTTCCAATAAGCCCTTCCCAAGAAATTAGGTAAAATTGCCCTAATGGTCAGATTTAAATTAAAATAACATTAGGCTAGGTACTAAATTTGTTACAAATATCGCAGTTGAATTGATTCTTTGCAAGTGTTGACTTTGTATGTATATTGTAAATTTAGTGGAAATTTTAAAAATGCCTAAACGTGTGTTAGATGTAGATAGTCTAATTTGTAGTGAACATAAGTATTTTACGGATGAAAAAGAAAATGGTGGTCCTTTAAAATCGGTAATGTCTGTACAACAACGCGTATGTGATGCTCTAGGAATTAGTGAAACCAAATTAAGAGGGGTATTACAAAATCACAAAAGTGAACTGCCGAAAGAAGATCACCGCAAAACTAGCCCATCATTGAAAACGAAAGATATTCCAGATGGAAAAAAATTGGAAATTCGTGATACCATTTATCGAATGAGGACCAACAAGCACCATGTGACCTTAAATACAATTCTCTCGGAATTAATAGATAGAAAATTTGACGACATTGGCAGAACAAGTCTATGGCAAGTGATACATAACTTGGGTTTCAAATTTCAAAAGGAGGATAACAAAAAAGGCCCTTTGTGAAAGAAGTTCTGTCGTACACAAGAGAATTAACTTTCTAAAAAAATATTCTAAATTTAAAGAAGAAGGAGCGAATTTTATATATTTAGACGAAACATGGATATTTTCTAGAGGTGCAACCAAGAGAATATGGCAAGATGATAACGTAAAGTCCATCAAACATACCGATGGAGAAGGGAAGCGACACATAATTTTACATGCAGGAGGGAAATCGGGTTTTATAGAAGGTGCTGATTTAATATTTTCATCTAAATCAAAATCCAGTGACTATCACGATAATATGAACACAGAAATGTTTGTAAAATGGCTGCATGAAAAACTTCTCCCAGGTTTAAGTGAGCCCAGCGTAATTATTTTAGACAATGCACCTTACCATTCTGAAGTATTAAACAAAAGTCCAACGAATTCTTGGACTGTTGATAAAATTAAAGAATGGTTGACAAAGAACATATACCATTTCCTCAATATATATTAAAATCAGAATTATTACCCTTGGCAAATATACACGCAAAACCAAAAACCTTTGTTGTGGATCAGATTATTGAAAGTTACGGTCATCAAGTTTTACGTCTACCACCGTATCATTGCCAGTTTAATCTCATCGAATATATATGGGGAATAGCAAAACAATATTATGACAACCATATTGGGCCTAATGGTTATAGTGACGACGCAGTTCGGGAAACTTGGTGAAAAGCACTTTCAACTGCAACTCCAGAAGTGTGGCGGATCTGTATATCCAAGTGGGAGAAACTAATAGAAGATTGGTGGACTCGTGAAAATAAAATAAACGAAATAAGTCCAATCATAATAACAATTAATGGTGATGACAGTGATGATGATGACGATTATGATATTTTGGATGATAATGACAGATTTTAATTTTTGTGGGCAAGTTTAATTTTTTTTATTTTTCATTTGAAATTCTCTACATGGAACAAATTTTTATGTTAGAAAATATTTTATGTGAGCTAAATAACCCTCTTATTATACATAGACCATATTTTCTGTGTGAAGTGTAATATAAAATTATTATTAGGTTTATAATAGCCACATTAGACTCCATTAATGAAGAAGTTTAATTCTGCTCTCAATTATACAAAAGATTCTCCATTATTATTTAATTAAAAAGTTGTACATTATTTTTCATTTCATTTAACCAGTTGATATTTCCCCAAAGAACAGGTCAAACGTTCGGGTACTTACCTGGAAATACTCATAAAAATTTTAATCCAAAACCCGCGTAAGTATAGCGAACAGACTGTAGTATCAGAGATAACGGGAGATGTAACTTCTAACAAATTTCGTGCTGTAGTGAATAAAACATATTCTAAGGGACACAGGAGGATATAATATCTGCTGTTGTCATGCATATTTTATTATTCTCGTTTTGTTTATAACATTATTTATCTTTAAAATGCGAAAATAATTCAACCTTTTATTGTAATTGAACCCAACAAATTTTGAATCTTAGTTATATCAAATTTAACTAAATTAGATGTAATAATTTTCAATAAATTCCCAAACCTAGTTAATGTTAAGTTGGATGTGGCAACAGGGCTTACATCGGCTTGGATTCTACGTTGTTTATTATAAGCGCACAAGTGCTTACAATATATTCATCGATAAAAACAAATGTGTCGTCGTAAAATCCTTCTCTATATCCCTTCTCTTACCTCTCATAACACGTCTCTTCACTCCGAACCTACAAATAGAGCGTACTGACCATCGAATTAATGTTGGCATCATGAGTATTATATTTCATTAATGAATAACTACATCTTCTGTTATCTCTGGCTAGTATCGTAGTGCGATAGGGATATCTATATGTTTACAATCGTAGGTGCAACTAAGATGGGATATACAAAGCGGTGCGGAGGCAGACATCGTAAATTAACGAGCGCGAAAAGTTTTTTTTTTTTTTTTTCTATTAATTACCATAAGTTGATTATTATAAGACATAAAAATATTGTTGATGTTTTGTTATGATCGCACACATTTTAGAAACTTTTATAGATTAACTTTTTTGATTTGAAAGCTTGTTTAGCTAATTTCGTAGTGTAAGATAAAACCGACAAAATAGCATTTTTTTCTATGAAAATTTCAAAATATTCTAAACACATTTTGTTAGTTTTTTTTTTAATATCATTATATACAAATCTATCTAGAACCAAAAGAGATTAAATTTTTGAATAAATTATTAAAACTTACCTGTGTGTTTACCTTTGACAACCAGAGAGTCTGCCATATCCCAGAGATCTTGGTACGAGAGAAGATATGTGAATTGCTGGTTCTGTTTGGACATGGCATTGTAAACTGAGAGCGGCACCCACAATCCAGCGTTTTGGGAGTGAGTGTTAACAGGCACATTACCTCTTGTAGCTAATTCTCCGCTGTTGTAGCCCGAGGATTGACTGCCAACAGAACCTACAGAACCCGCAGGCGAAGGCGTCGGAGATAAAGGTGAGGGGGTTCCTTGACCCTGTTGATGGTTCTGAGGATCTTGAGCAAGAAGAGCACCTTGATTCTGAAAAGTAAAACCTTTATTTTTAAAAGAACGGCACTTTAAGCTAAATGAAACTTAAACAATCCATGTTAACATTACTAATAAAATAACGGTATATTAAACAACAGTAGAATAGAAATTCTGCAAAATATTTAGGCATCAACCTAGATGTAAAATTAAAGTGGAAAGAACACATCAAAAAAATAAACGAAAAGAGTTGATCATTAAATACGAGAAATTGTATTGGTTGGCGAATGGAAAATCAAAACTTGGATTCAAAAATAAACCATTAATTTATAAATAAGTATTAGACAATGCGGACTTAGGCACACATCGCTGGTGGCGTACCAAGTAAAATAAAAAAAAAATAAATAAAGGGCAATAGTAAACCCACTTTGGTATGTAAAGAACTGCAATCTACACAAAGACCTAAGAATGTCAACAGTCGAAAAAGAGAGAAAAACAACAGCAAAAAAATATGCATAACCATGTCAATATTAAAATTCTACACCTGAACAACCAATGCCCAATGAATATCATAAGACAGGCCCTTGGCTCTCTGATTTTAGACTAAAACAGCTGTTTCTCGTCTAAGTTAGCACCTTTTAATGTATCAAATAACACCTTGTTTTATCTCTGTACTCTAACTAAACACACATTCATAATGTAACACATACATTTACACAACTTCCATACACCATAAATTTGGTTTAAAACACCATTATTGAACCCATAACAGAAACCCCATATATTAGACTTGATTTTATGTCAATTTAACCTAAATTACCTTAATCCGAACATGCTTCATAAGGACTGGATAGCAACATTACAATAAATAACAATATGACAACAAGACAGGAAATAGAAGACGAAATACACTAACGAATGCACTAAAGCTTAGTAGAGACAGAACCACACAACTACGATACAATAAAACAGGCAAATAAATTATGCCACAAGATATAATAGACCGTATAAAACAAAAGAATACTATCAGGAAACGCTGGCAAGCTTACAGACGGGCAGAAGACAGAATTAGACTTTTAAACATCGCAAACAGCATAAATGCAGACATTAAAAACACCGCAAAGACAAATGGTTGGTTATTAATGAGTTAAGGACTTTATAATTCAACTTTCTGAAAAGTTTTCCAAAAAATATCTCTGGCCAGATTTAAAAAACGTCTAAGTGTAAACGAGAAAAAAAGTGGAAATAGGAGGCATGGTTGTCTACACAAAGACCTGGCAATTTACAGACATCAATAATGACACAATAACACCGCACAAGTTCAATCTCAACTCCAACGGAATAGCATTCTGATTGGCGGCGGACAGGGTTCCTTCATTTCAGGTCTTAAGGTCGGACGATAGACCAACCTGTGACATCAGAGATTGAGCATTGAAAACCAGTTTACCTAGAACTGTACTAGGATACAGTTAGAGCACCTCCAACGACCAATGTTTTCGGAATTAGAGCAACAACTTAACCCTACATTTGCGTGAGCATAACATTGTAATTTTCCTACACCAGAGTAAGTCTAAAATCCCACAGACAGGGATAGAGCATATGCCAGAGCCCGTAAGGGCAGCCAAAACTTCGCCAAGCGAAGTTCAAATGCAAAACACACAGATGTCGGCCAAACCTTGCTGCAATCCAAAAAAATTGCAAAATTCCTTTAGATGATCCCCAAACACTCGAAAAGAATTCTAAAGACATCGAGGACCTGTCTGAGGTTTTAAACGACTCAGAAGAGGCAAATGACTCCAGTATTATGGACTCCACAATAAGGAGATCAGAGGAGCCGAAAGAAAATTAGGAAGAACCACAGAAAGGGCCAGAAACTCTAGAAAAGCCTACTGAAACCAGGGACTATAATAAAGAGATAGACGAACTCTTCAATAAATTTCTGGAAAACAATAATAATCCTAATCCTTCCCAACCACCCCCACCAATGCCCCCAGGGGGTCAAGGCAAGTTAAATCAATAAAGCTAAAGAGAATAGAACTACCTCCAGGAGTGAAAACGAAAATTCTCAACTACAGAGTGGACGAAAACTCTGACATCGATGACTCAGAGGATGGTACCCCTAAAGATACCACCCACAACCCCTCATTCCCTACTGGAAATTTACACAGAAGAAAAAAAAAACAAAAAAAGGAGATTCGGTACCGATTATAAACAATCAAGCACCCACAAACAAATAATCTCAGTGCATTTGTCTCAATCCCAAAATCTAATTAAGATCAAAGCGGTTGCAACGATCTCAACAATACCTACAAAGTAGGTTTAGACATTGCAAAAGCTTTTGACACCGTCTGGACTGGAGGGCTAATCCACAAGATGTACGTGAATGACTTTCCCGTGCATATTGTAAAAACAATAGTCATATTTACACAAACGACAATTTCAAACCAAAACGACATAATAGGACCGTACAGAGCGGAATCAAGTTTGCCTCATGGCTCGGTACTTTCGCCGCATCTGTACACCATTATGACCCATGACATAACAATGGGACATCATGGTGTACAGACGACACTGAACGCCGACGTCACCTGCGTTTTCAAATAAAATCCTTCTGTATAAACAGATCATAAGACCAATTATAACATATGGCTGTCAAGTATACTGTTCAATGGCTGAGAGTCGTTAACTTAAACTCCAACGAGTACAAAACAAGTGTCTGAGATTGATTCTGGGACACTACCTTCGATGTCCAAACTCTAAGATGAGGACCAACATCCACATAAAGACAAACATGCCTCCTATTAAGGACTTTGTAATCAAAATATCTGAAAAATTCTATGACAAATGTCTCAAACCAGATCTCAAAAGAGAAATCATAAATGTCAACGAAGGCAACAGTGCTAATAGGAGGCATGGTTGTCTGCACAAGTCTTTCAATTTACAGGCGTCGACAATGACAAAATATCGCAAACACACGTTCAATCTCTCGTTAACAGAATCACACTCTGATTGGCGAAACGGGGAGGCCGGCCTTCCGAGCAGATACCAAGTCGTCTTCAAATCTGGTCGGACGTCAGAGATTGAACATCGAAAATCCAAAACGACAACACATTTCGCCCACACTCAGACAACGACAACTCTGTTTTTTTTTTTTAATTCTTTTCCAGAGGGGACCAGACAAAACTAACATTCGCCACAAATACAAATCCAAGTGACTTACTGCATACAGCGTAAAAATCAAAACATGCTAATAATGTCATTTGACAAGGAGTTGCTAAAACATCACAAAATGAGTTAAGCAATTTAAATCGTTTAAAGGCGACCATCTGCCTGGTACCTAGGTACCCCCAGGAACCTACCCGAAGAAATTATTTTAAATTGCAATGTATATATTTTAAAATAGAATAAATACTTTTTAATGAATTAATGCATTGAAAACCATAATCATAATTCAAAACAACATGGCATATTACAGGCAAAGATACTCGTCTTGGCCCCTGTAGACTACCGCTTGGGCAACACATTTCACATATGAATCTTTCTAACGTAATTTAGTATCACTTTAATAACTTCAAACAATCGAAACATTTTAACTAACTTATTTAATTTTAAAACTACATCAAATTTAATTTCAGTTTGCAAAAAAGTTCACTAAGTTCAGTTGTTTCAACTCTATTATGTTCAAGTTCAATTCCGATTAAGACATGAATAATTTTCAAAAATTAATCGAAAATAGCCAATTAATCGAAATAATAGATTGATCGAAATATTCGATTTATCGATTATGATCGATTAAACGAATTTAATCGATTTATCGATTATGATCGATTAAACGAAAATAATCGATTTATCGATAATAATCGATTAATCTAAAATAATAAATAATGATTTAATCGATTTTTCAAAAAAATTGATGGACCAATCGATTAATAATCGATTATTTTGCCCCCCTCTACTCTCAACTTTGGGCGTTGCACGTTCCCTCGTATCTGTATGTAATCGTTAAAATTATGAATGAAGGCAGATTAATTTTAGTCTCGTAAGTAGTTTAGTAGTATTTATTTAGGCTACCTAGTAACGTAAATTTTTTCTTAGGAATCAAAAAGATAAATTAAAAAATCTTACCTTAGTACAATAATCACTTATGGTTTTTTGATGGTCTTTGGATTCCTGTTTTTTCATTTTAAATAGTTTGTAAAATAGTAGAGCTTGGCACCGGTAACTGAAATTGTATAAAAATATAAGAGCTGCTTTAAGGATTTCATAAATAATTTACCTTAATACAGCAAGTTTATTATGTACAGGAGAGGCATTTTGCTGATTTCGGAAGTTAGATGAAATGTATCTGCAAAAGAAAAACACATTTAATATTATGCAACTCTTAACTTTAGGTACCCCAAATACATAATGGTAAAATAAATCAAAATGTGAATTATTCAATTGTCTATTTTTAATTAACACAATTTCTAAGTATATGTATACACTTTCAAAAGATTTCCGTCTTTTACCTAATTTTTCCAGAAAGTGGCGACGTTACCATGGCATAAGAAACAATTGTAAGGCTTACTTGTCTTGGCAGTAACGCTACGCACACGCCACCATTTCGGTGTCCAACATCTCAATCAAGTCATCGTCGTCGTTTATATCGAAATCAGTAGCATGAGTGTCTTGAATTTATTTTGTTTTTTGTTTGTGAGCATATAAAAATATTTTGCGTAAAAAATAGTTTGCCAAGCCCCCCTCTTGAAGGAAATTTCATCGTTTTCTGTCAATCATCCAGGCCTAAACAATCCTTATTTATTTCACGTAATGAAAAAAAAAAGTAGAATGATTGTCAGTACAAAACAAGTATTGTTTATTGTGCTTTGACTAAATAGCCATCAAACCAATTTATTTTATAACCAGGGATTCAATTGTTGGGTTTGCTGAAAATGAAAAGGAGGAAAATATTGTCGGAGTCATGTAGTTAACCTGGTATGTTATATCGGAGTATGAATGTGAATAAAAGGTTTTGCTTTTTCTGTGACAAATATATTTTTTGTTGACAAGTTATATTTATTTATATCTGTCTAAAACTGAAAATCACATGGTAACGTAATAAAAACAGAGGCAGTACACTACAAATACTCCCCCCTTAAACAAAAACAATATTATTTAATTGATTACAAAAGAGACTTTCTTTTTGGGTTTACCTGAATCTACTTCAGGGATATGTTTTGAAAGGAAAAAAGCTGGTTTAATTCTGTCAATGCTAACCACGTATTCTCTATTGTCTTTATTAATTAAAAAATTCTTGTCAAAACGTTTTATAACTTTGAAAGGTCCTTCAAAAATGGGCGATAATGAACTTCGAAAACCTTCTGTTTTAATAAAAACATACTCACAGGTGTCTAACTCTGACGAAATAAATGTGGTTTGAGTTGAATGATGTCTTGGATTTGTTGGCTTAATATTATTAAAAATATCGTGAAGGCTTTGGACGAAAAATTCACCTGGGAGGCGTAAAGGCTGGCCATATACGAGTTCAGCCGAGGAACACCCAATGTCCTCCTTAACTGCGGCGCGGATACCCAATAGAATTAAAGGTAATTCTTCTTTCCAGTTGGTGGTGTTTCCTCTAGCTATTAGTGCAGACTTCATAGTGCGATGAAATCTTTCCACCATACCATTACTCTGGGGGTGATAAGCAGATGTATGAATTTTATGACAACCAAAAAATTTTGTAAATTGTTCCATTAATTTAGATTCGAACTGCCCACCCTGGTCTGTCGTAATGGTATGAGGAATACCAAATCGGGAGAAATATTGTTGGAATAAAATTTTAGCAACATTTTCTGCACTAATATTACTAAGAGGGTATGCTTCAGGCCACCTCGTGAACCGTTCGACTACTGTCATGATATAATTGCATCCTCCTGATTTAGTCAGAGGCCCGACTAAGTCGACATGAATGTGTTCAAAACGACCTTTAATATCAAATTTGCCAATAGGGGCTTTAGTATATCTATTAACTTTAGTTAGCTGACAATTAACGCAAGATTTTGTCCATTTAGTTATGTCAGAATTCATGCGAGGCCAATAATATCTAGATCCTATTAACTTTTTTGAAGATTTAATTCCAGGATGAGAAATACCGTGAATATTCGAGAAGATAGTAAATCTAATATTTTTAGGAACATATGGACGATATTTACTTGACGAAACTTCGCACCAAAGTTTTGTTTCCAAAAGTGGTATATCTATTTCTTGTAATTTGTGATAGCTGTTATCTTTCTGACTACGCAATAATTGTTGCAACTCAATGTCATCATTTTGGTATTGTTTAAAAGACTTTATATCTAGCTGGATAAAATTCGAGGGGGTTAGTTGTGGCAATATTTCTGGGGAAGTAATTTCTTCTAACCGAGATAATGTGTCACTAACCACATTTGATTTGCCCTCGATATGCTGAATGTCTGAAGTAAATTGAGCAATGAGTTCTAAGTATCGAAACTGACGTGGACTTTTTTCGGTTTTCGAGGTCAAAACGTTGGTAAGAGGTTTATGATCCGTAAAAACCGTAAACTGATAGCCTTCTAACAAATGACGAAAATGTAAAATGGCAGAATAAATTGCAAAAAGTTCTCGGTCGAAAGTGGAATATTTCATTTGGGTTTTTGATAACTTTTTTGAAAAATATGCGAGAGGTTCCCACGAATTATCAGAAAGTTGTTCTATGACACCACCTATGGCATAACCTGATGCATCTACTGTTAAGGACAATTTGCAGTTTGGGCGAGGGTGTACTAATAGCGATGCTTGGGCTAAACCGTTTTTAGCGGCGATAAAACTATCTTCATGTCTTTGTGACCACTGTGAAATCGTCTTATCCCTCTGATTTTGTAAAGAAGTCATCAGATCGTAGAGCGGTATCAAAACATTAGCGAAATTTGGAATAAAACGATGATAAAAATTTATCATTCCAACGAACCGCTGGAGATGTTTGAGAGTCTGGGGGCGGGGAAACTTTTTAATAATTTCTACACGCTCCTCTGATGGCAGAATACCTTCCGCAGATACTAAATAACCTAGAAAGTTTAATTGAGGAACTCCAAAAACGCTCTTACTAAGGTTGAGGTTAATTCCAAAAGAATTTAGCCTTTCGAATAATATTGTTAAGTGTTGAAGATGTTCTTCATTATTTTTACTGGCTATTAAAATATCGTCTATGTAGACATAGCAAAAATCTAGGTTTTGTAAAACTTGATTAATAAATCTTTGGAAAGTTTGGGCCGCATTTCTTAACCCAAACGGCATACGAAGGAACTCGAATAATCCAAAAGGTGTTACAATAGCGGTTTTATGAATATCTTCCTCTGCCATAGGGATTTGGTGATAAGCCCTAACCAAATCAATCTTTGAAAATATGGTACAACCGTGTACATTTATGTTGAAATCCTGTAAGTGAGGAAGTGGATACCTATCCGGTATAGTGACATTATTTATTTGTCTGTAATCTCCGCAAGGACGCCAGTCACCTGGATCTTTTTTGGGAACCATATGTAATGGTGATGCAACAGAAGATGAGGATGGCCTACAAATGCCTAAAGCTACCATTTGTTCAAATTCTGCTTTTGCAATATTATATTTTGAAGTATTAAGACGTCGAGCGTGCGACGATGGTAAGTGACCATTTGTTATAATTTGATGTTTTACAGTATGTGTGATAGGTAAGGAATAGTTCGGAGGAGAAGTTAAATTAGGGAAATCCTGAATAAGTTTAGCGAATTCATTTTCTATGGTTAAAATTTTTGGGGATAAAGGGATATTATTTTCAGAGATAAACCCGCTTACCGAAAGTTTCGTTTCATTGTCAATTAAACATTTATTTTTTAAGTCAACTAATAACCCAAAATAAGAAAGAAAATCTGCACCAATGATAGGGTGCGAAATATCGGCCACCGTAAAAACGAAAGGAAAAACTCGTCTGAGGCCTAAATTAACCTTAAGGAATTGTTTTCCAAATGTATTAATGGTGGAACCATTCACTGCTGTAAGAAATAGATCATCTGATTTTTTAACATTTTTAAAAACATCACGAGGAATGACTGAAATGTCAGCCCCTGTATCGATTAAAAAATTAAATTTATTATTTGCGTCAAAAATAAATAAGCGACGGTTTACATTTTTTGTAGATCCACTCGCTACCGCCGAAGCTTTGGATAAAATGCACCAAGGTCCTCCGCATCTGATAAATAAAAATGGTTTTAACGATATTGAATTGAATATCTAATATTAGGTACTTATCTACTGCTACTAAAATACTTAAATTATTTATCTTGTTAGAATTGGTACAGGATATATCTTGAAGTCAGGACAGTATGTGTTGAACCATGGATAGAAGATGGGGTCATTTACAGGAACTCGTATTGATCGGCTAGCAAAATTCTTTAAATTCTTACAGAATTTTGTAAAAATGGGAATACGTTCGGGGTCACCAATTTGTCGGAGTCATGTAGTTAACCTGGTATGTTATATCGGAGTATGAATGTGAATAAAAGGTTTTGCTTTTTCTGTGACAAATATATTTTTTGTTGACAAGTTATATTTATTTATATCTGTCTAAAACTGAAAATCACATGGTAACGTAATAAAAACAGAGGCAGTACACTACAAATATTTCATCTTTACTCAATGTTATTACAGAAATAGTGAATATTCTGCAAACCATTGGTTTAAAAGTTTGTCCAGTAACTTCAGATATGGGCTCGATTAATTTACAATTATCACACTTCCTAAAAGTGGATCCACGTCGGCCTTTCTTTAATATAAATGAAAAACAAATTGTGTACCTTTTTGATGTACCTACCTATCGTTACGAAACATGCTTTTAAAGTATGATTTTTTTTATAAATAGAAAAGCTATTTTCTGGAGATATATTAAAGCTATGTACCAAATACATAAAAAGTATTCTGTAAGGGCAGCCCCAAAATTGACTGCCTCACATATCCAACACTCAAATTTTGAAAAAAATGTAAGTTTTGCATCGCAGGTTTTCAGTCACTCTGTTTTTGTTACTATAAGTTTTTACATACAATTTGGCCTTTTACCAACAGAAGCTGCCGAAACAGCTCAGTTTCTTAATAGAATGGGCAAATTGTTTAAATTCTTCTCAAACTTCTGCATACAAAATGTAAAACATGGCATATAAAAGAGCTTGAATACTATATGGTTTTTTTAAGTAAATGTTTAGATTTTTTTAATAAAGTAGAAGTGCAAGATAAATTTAACAAACAAGATTATATCAAATGTTTAAAAATAACCAATATAATTATCTTTTTACTCAGATATTAAATCAGGAAAATCTTTTTGATAAGCCAAGACAAGAAAATTTCAAAGGACGTTCAAAAAATTGCAATGTTTAAATTTATTGCATTCTGGAACTGAATGCTGCAAAGCAGTTGGGGATGCTTTACTTGTAAGCAGGGGCGGCTTGTGACCAAAATTTTGGGGGTTCACAGTAGCAGAATATAGATCTCGGTACAGATGTAAGTAAAAAATGTTCTAGAAAGGTATATTATAAACTTTCTAAAACACTGAAAGCTTTTTCATACATCTGTACTGATACCTATATTCTGTCACTGTGAACCCCCCACGAGCCGCCACTGCTTGTAAGGCTGCATAAAATTCGTAGGACTAATGAAAACGTATAATGGTGGCACTATTGACGAAAATGTAAATATAAACAATCATATTGCATGCATAAAATATTTTTATGTGAGCTATTTCATTATTCAGTCATGCTCTAACCCTCCAAGTCCCTCTCTGTCTTATTTGGCCTTTGAGGCTCAACTTGTCCGATTATTATACATAATTAAACCCCTTAAGACCAAACCTATGTGACGACTGTGGCGGAGGTACTTTCGCGAACATTCCAGAGTCAACGGGATACTATTTCTAGTCTATTCCAAATATAACGTGATAGTGTTTCCAATTTTTGGCGAGAACGTTCTAGAACCTTCACCATAATTTTAAATTGGTATATAAATATTGGTGGAGAATAACGCTGTATCAGTTATTATATTCGACATATATATAAATTAGAATAGTAGTGTTATAAAATAAATAAGTGTTTAAATAAATTATTGATAAATAAACTGTTGTTTAAAATAAACAAACATCACAATATTAACATTTTAGAAGAAAATATTATTAGATATATATGCGGATTTTTAATAAAAAATGACTTGAGATACACAATATGCCACACAACACGAAGACTTGGATGAAAGCTCCATGAATTGTTATTATAAAGCATACAAAAACGCAAATGAAGATATTTTTGGCAATTTAAAAATGCCAAATAATAGTTTTGTATGTTTAATAATAATAAAAGAAATAAATTTTCAACAAAATTTTGAAGTATTTATCACTAAATTCGGCATTTGTAAACATATTTTAGATTTAATTAATTATGAGATAACATTTGAAGCTCCTTGTCCCCATTTCCCAGCAATATATGTTATTAAGTTATATTTAAGGCTACTCATATATTATACTTTAAAAAATGTTAGGACCAAATTTTAAGACCATCAATAAAAACAAGCTTATTATTTGACGCAATATGTAGAACTTATTTCCTTTCTTAATGCTGTTCTTATAAGTTAATTTAAATATATTTTGTGTAAATTTTCACTTTTTTTTTTGTTTTAATACAACCCGTCCTATCAATTCCTTATTTTATTGCAAAATGTTTTAATAAGCTTTAATCCGGCCCTGACTAAGACCCCCGAATGACGTCGCCAAGGTCAAATTTTCGTAGTATAATATTTGCATGTGATCAGCGACAAGTGAGCCTGCCGATTGTTTCTTATGCCGTGACGTTACTATGGCTATAAATAGACATACCTATGTTTTGCATGTCATTATTTACATTTTGAATGAAACTTAAACTAAAACAGGATACGACTAAATTATAACTTACTTTATTAATGAAAGTGTATCTTTATACATAGTAAAGGCAGCTTTTTCTGTAACTTTTTCATGTTCCATGGCATTTCCAGTTAACAAGAAAAACAATACAGCTTCCAGGTACAACATGCACTGTTTTATTGTGTCAGTCTCTTTGTCCGCCATATGCTTCAACCTTTTTGCATCACTCAGGTACTGGTTTTGATCCCTACAAACAAAAATTGGCTTGACACACAACATTTCATAATAATTAATAACGAACAATTGATAATGATTCAAATTCATATCGATTCAAATTCATATCGATTAAAATTAATAACGATTAAAATTAATAACAATTAAAATTAATAACAATTAAAATTAATAACGACTAAAATTAATAACGCTTAAAATTAATAACACTTAAAGTTAATGATTAAAATATAATGAATAATAATGATTAATAATGATTAATAATGATTAATAATGATTAATAATGATTAATGATTAATAATGATTAATAATGATTAATAATGATTAATAATGATTAATGATTAATAATGATTAATGACAATATTTAGTAATCATTGTGTAATATTTCATTAACTAACCTATCAATTGAAGACCTTGGCGTAATAAGGTTACATGCCACATTAAGTTTTGAGAAAATTAAGTTTAAAATTTGTTATAAATCTGTCAAATGCAATTAAAAAAATATTTAAATATAAATATTACGAAAAATAGAATAAATCATATAGTTTATCTCATATTTAAAAAAAATTTGGTACTAGTCATTTAAAAAAATGAGGCTTACATACTTGTTGCATCAAAATATTATATCCTTGTTTATGTTTACTAGCGTCATCTTTTGAAATAGAGGTAAAATAATTTGTATGTGCTGGTATCATTGTTAACATATGTTTTGAGCTAAAATAGTTACTTCACAACAAATTGTGGTTTGCATCCTTTTTATACCAAGGGCTTCAATTAAAAAAACCTTCAAACCTGCGTATTTCACACATTTTTATTGTTCAAATACTTAAGTGTTAATATTGAAAATATCAAATAATAAAATCAAAGTTGACAGATGTAAAACATGCAGGTTTGTTTAAAGGTACGGACCTACTAGATATTAGGCTTTTTATACTTAGAAATAGTATAAAAGGCCTTATAGACAGATTTTTTCGCTACCCTGTATAGAATTACTTCTAAAATGATTGACTGCTAACCTGAAACATCGTGTATGTTCACTTATTGGTCCAATCAATAGAAAACTCGAGCCGGTTTCACCTTTGGTGTATAGAATTGACTTTTTATACTATTTCTGTTTTTATACAAATTTTTAATATAAATGTCAAAACTAAATCATTTTACAGCCGCTTTTTATACAGGGTGTTTCACTAGATTTTTCCTCCTTTTGAGGACCTGTATCTTCCAAACCAATTTAAATATCCTGATGCAGTTTTCACTAAAGATTTCAGTAGTTTTATTAGGGCAAACCGGGAATGAAATTGTAGCTGCATCGGGATATCTTAATTGGTTCGGAATATAAGTCCTCGAAATGTGAAAAGATTTAGTGAGACAAACAGGTATTATATCTATATGTATGTTATTTTAGGCTATCTACATTATATTAAATAAAATAACTAGGTCCTCCTGATACATCTTTTGGTTTAAAAGCAAGGTAATAACTAGGTTAAATGAATTAGTGCATTTATTTGATTATCTAAATGGGTCATTTGGTGCAAATTTGGCCTTTCCGATTTGTTATATTTTGTACAAGTAAAATATGTTTATAATTAATAAAATAAATAAATCTACCTTTCTTCGTATTCCGATGGTTCGTCTGCCACATCAAAATAAGAATGGTACTCCCTACTGGAAAGCGATCTGCTGGTAGAGGGAGAAGGATCACAATTTGAAACGACCGGTATCCTGGTTGCTTCCCTCTCGTGGTTGGTGGGGGGAGCATTTATTAAATTGAGATTTTCAATGTGAGATCTTTGTACATGTTCGTTTTCTTCTTTTCGCCTCTTATGTTTAACGTGTTCTTTTTCTTTATTTTTTTCTTTTTTATGGTAGTCCAACTTTTTACTACTATGAGATAAACTACTGCTTACAGTTGAATGGGAAGATCTAGAGCTTGAGCTATTTCTTCTTTTTCTCTTTTTTGATTTATGCTTGTGATCAGGTGGATCATCTAAAAGGGGCTTTTTACTCTCACTATTGTCTTTAACTGGTGGCTTTGCTTTCGTTTCTTCACAATCACTATGCTTTTCTTCTTTTTTACTTACATCTGGCTTACATTCTATGAGCCAAGGCTTTACATCTTCTATATGTTTGCGAAGAATAGGAATATGATTAAGATTTAACCTATGAAGATCAATTTTAACCCACATTTCACTTTTGTCCTTGTTATCAATTATTGGTATATCAGTCTTAATTAGAGTACTTGGTTCTGTTGGTTCATCAGGTGAGACTGGGCGACTAGTTGGTATTAGACTTGTTTCGGCCACTTCTTTAATAGGAACTTGTTCGACTACAGAAGGAGCAGCTGTTGGCATTGCCTCGTCTTCTACAGAGGAACTACTTCTCTCATAATCACCATCGACAATAATAACATTTACTCCAGCTTTGCCTGTAAGGAAATTAGATAAAGCAATATAGATAATCAAATACATACAATTAATGGATTCAAATTTGTTTCATTAAGACTGAGACGCAATTAAAGTTTTATGCAATACGAATTAATTATTGAACATGAAAATTTCTATATGTCAAGAGAGAATAGAATAAAGTTTCAAGAAGTAATATGTTGGGAAAGGTGTTTCAGGCAACTTGAAATTGTCATGCGAGACCGGTCCTGCTCTATAGCGCGACGCCTAGTCTACATCGATACATCCGAGAGAATTTCAGAAAGCATTTTGTACATGTACTCACAGATTTTATATAAAGGTACTACACCAACATTTTTAAACTCTCGCAGTCAAACACCAATAGATATCACTTTATCCACAACTGATATCTATAAATCAATTCTAAACTGGCTGGTTAACATTCAAAATAAACTTGATGTTGTCAACCTCCACACTATCTCGGATCCTAGGAAGGCGGACAGGGCAATCTATGCCCAAGAGGCTTTGAAAGAGGTGAAGGCCGAAATACCAAACAATAACAATGTTTTGGAAAAGTACTCAAAAACTATCCAAAGCACAAAAAAATGCCTATAAGAAATCCTGCCCCTCCAACACGATCAGACCACTACCGCATGGTGGTGTCACCTCAGGAAGATAGCTAGGAAATCCTTTAATAAGGCAAGAACCACAAAACTCAAAGAGGACTGGGATACTTACAAATCTCAACTCAGAGAATACAAAAAAAAAACCGTCAGACAAATGGACAGCTGTCAAAAACCATCCAGTTCAAAGTGGAGTACCACAAGACTCGGTCTTGAGTCCCCTGTTATTTAATTTATACACCAGTGATTTATACAAAATCATTGAGTCCGAAGCCAACTTTTATGCAGACGATGGAAAGATCTACTGCAAGCCACTGGAAAGCTCTCACAAAATGAAACAAGACTTGAATAAAATAGGAATCTGGTCCCAACAATGGCTACTACAGTATTACACATAGGCCCAAATAAACCCCATCCACAGTACACCTTAGATACAAACACAATTACTCCAGTGAAATTCAAAAGGATCTTCATGTAACCATGTCTAAAGACTGAAAATGGGAAAACCACATTGCAAATATAGTGAAGAAGGTCAACTGTCTCATTTAACTTATCAAAAGAGCGTTTAAAGACCATTCCGAAGATATGACCAAAGATAGAATTTGCACAGACCGTCTGGGATCTATACTTTGTCAAAGACATTGAACTACTGGAAAAAGTACAAAGGAGAGTCACCAAAATACTACCATCCCTAAAAAACAATGAGTATTGTGATCGGCTAGCCAAACTACAACTTACAAGTTTAAAGGAGAGAAGAACTAGAGGAGACTTAATAGAAACTTACAAGTGGACCAGCGGATATAACTAACACCTGTGATAACATCTTCCAGGTCAGCAACTCAAGAATTTTGAGAGGTCACTCGAAGAAATTAGACAAAGAAAAGTGTAATAAACTGCAAAGAAAAAATTTCATAACAAACAGAATTATATATCTATGGAATGGTTTCCAGGAACATACAATCTCAGCCCAGAACATAAACCAGTTCAAGGCGAGAGTGGATATAGAACTCAAAGAAAGAAAAAATAATTTTATTCATTATAGTTTATAGTATATTGGGATTTAACTGTCATGTAGTGATTTAGAATAATTTTTGTCACTAACTAAAAGAGCAGCTTCATCAAATATGTCGCTTGTATGTTCTTAACAATAATAATAAAGTTATAACAGAAACAAATAGAAGAGCCGGAAATGGCAGGTACGATTCATATCTACACTGACGATTCTAAAACACAACAAGGCTCAGGATGTGGAATATACTCCAGATCCTTAAACCTAAACATAAAATAGGCTGTGAGCAACAGTGTAGTTCAAACAGAGCTCTGGGGATTCTCATAGCAGCAAAAGAAATCACCAGAAACAATATCACTGAAATAAACATGCTCATTTCTACAGATAGCAGACAAGCACTGATTACCCTGAACAGACCACGAATTTACTCAGGGTTAGTACTAGAATGTAACGAAACTTTGACCAAAGTATCCATCAACAATATGGTCAATTTAAGATGGATCAAAGGTCAGGAAACATTGAAAGGTAACCGTATTGCTGATTCACTAGCCAAGAAAGCAGCCAACCAAATACTTTTTGGACCTGGTCCTTCTAATAGTCTGACAAAATCAGAAGTGACAGACGTAATTAAAGAACATTCCCTTGTAAAATTCAAGGAAAGATGGGATGGAACAAGAAACTGCAGAGTTGTCAGGGAGCTTTTAAGTTATCCTGATAACACTGCAGCAAACAAATACTTGACTATGACTAGACAGAATCTGCACCTAGTCACAGGTATTCTGACTGGTCATTGCCAAATACAGAAGCATCTCCATATCATGGGATGTCAATAAGATGATAACATCGAGCATATCCTCTACGATTGCTCGACGCTCTCATTTATTAGAATATTTGTGTTCAGCGAGTATCGGCTAACACCGGCCGATATAAGAGAAGTACCTCTTGGTGCCTATTATCTTAGGAGGATGCACAATGGGCCTAGTAAGGCTTAAGTGCCATGGGGTAACCCATCCTCCACACTTTACAGATACAGAGAGTTCTATATTATATACCGCGGATGGCCTTAACCAAACTAGACGTAGTTTGTTGATGGGTACAGGTCTAAAATGATTGGTAAGTAAAAAACTTCTTGGAGCAGAAATTTATAAAGTACTTAGTACTTCACTCATAAAGTGGAATTAGGATAATCCATTTTCGAAAAAGAATTAAATAAGTGCATAAATTGAAAATGCAAATACAAATGTTCGGGCATAATAGAACATAATATTGATTTTTTTACGTATACTGTTAATTTAAATTTTGACTTGATTTTATATTTAGTTTAAAAAAAAGAAGTTAGAGAATCCTAAATTAACCTGTCTAGATAACTCACCTTTTCCTCCCTTTCCCCCCTTTCCTCCACCTTTTCCACCTCCTTTACCTCCCTCGGTATCCCTCTTAGGCGTAAACAATTTCCTCAAAGTGTCACTTTTCTTTTTATCGGAAATCGTTTTATTTTCATCGACCTTTATCGTAGAGTCAATTTTAACGGGAGTTTTCTTGGATATTGCATTATCACTATCAGAATCACTTATCCTCTTCGGAGATTCTCCAGAAGACGAACGTACATTTAACTTTGGCTTTGCAGCGGGCTTGGTCATTTTAACATCATTATCACTGTTTGAATCTGAAGATACAAATGCGGCACTTGTTGACTTTTTGGAGGTTCGACTTTTTCTCCTAGCAGGTGATATTTCCTTCTTAGGAGGGTCGGCAAGAGTTTTACCATCTTTAAAATGGTTTTTAATCATAGCTCTATTTTCTTTACCCCATTCATCGTCGTCGGAAACTTTTTTAGATCGTTTTCGATCGTCTTTGAACCGTGACGATTTTTTTAGCGTTTCCTTCTCAGATTCGTTTCTGATAATACTACTACAACTACTGGATTTCCTTCTCCTAGGAGCGGGACTATCGGATTCCGAACCACTAGAAGAGGCTCGTTTAGATTTAGTTCTGCGGCGAGATGGAGGTGGGGGTTTTTCGAACTTGGTACGGTCTTCTTCGTCTGATGAACTCTGCGATCTTGGTACATGCTTGGGAGGCCGGCCTCTTTTCACTTTTCGTACTTCCGGTCCCGAAGACCCGCTTCTAGATCGTCGGCTTTTATTTACTTTAGCTGGCCGACCGCGTTTTTTGACTTCCTTACCTTCTCCGTTTAACGGGTTCTTTCTAGGTCTACCGCGACCTGGTTTAACTTTTTCGGAAGCTATTACCGGTATCGGCGATTTTGGTTTTATTAACGTAGGAATAAAAGATTTTGAGGCATCAGAGTCCGAATCACTATGCGAATCGATCGATTTCGTCCTTGGACTTGCCCGGCTAACTGGTTTAACCTTTCTAGTCCGTGTGTTCTCGTCGTCACTATCACTATCACTAACTGGAGATTTGGTAACTGGTTGTATGGTACGTTTTCGTCTTTTTACATTATTTGATTTACTGTTGTCGTCGGATTCGGATAAACTAGATAACAAAGACATTGAAGATAAAGCGATAAGTTCTTTTTTGGCTTCTTCCATTACTCTCTCCGTAGAATCGCTGGTGTCGGATTCCTCGGTGCCCCTTTTATGCTCATCGTCCGATGAAACTTTTGGTAAAGGAGATGGTTTAATAGGCGAGAGAAAAGGAGAAGTAGACGATCCACCGACTATATTTTGATTATTTGATGAAACAAAAGATGCTAAGTTCCAGCGCACATCCTCTTCGGCTTTTGGAGATGTATGTGTAGTGGTTTCAATTATTACAGGCTCCGGTTTTGAGCTTGATATAGGCAAATTGTCGTCACCGGAATCATCGGTACTAGAGTCACTGTCGGTTCCGGAATCTGTTCCTGATTCGCTAGACGATGTCAAAATAGGCGATGAAGGCATTGGAGCTAGAGGTTCGGGCGGCCTTTCCATTCGTGATGTATGGATAGCGGGTGTTGCTCCAAGAGGTGACAACATTCTGAAACGGAAAATAATATATATTAAAATACGTATTATTTTGTTGGATTTTACTAAATTTAAAGAATGATACTTTATTTCTGTTTGAATAAATTTATAAACAGGGTCGGTTTCTTCATTATTATTATTAAAAACAATTAAAGGCTGAGAACTAGGTTCTATATAGCGTAACAATTTACAATAACTTGTAAACAATAGTAAATTAATATGGTTTGAAGATAATTAATTGTTCATAAAAAAGTCTAATCTATTTTTAAACATGTTTATCGATGTGGAGTCTATAACATCATTGGGCAAGCTGTACCAAACTTCAAAGATTCTGTTTGTTAAAATATTATTGTCTGTATTTAGTCATATAGTGTTCTTTTTTTAATTTGAATTGGTGACCTCTTAGCCAGTTATCATGATTTAAAGAATATAAATAAAAAAAGGCCAGCATAATTAAATTTTAATACGCGAAAAGTTAAAATTAGATCACCTCGCATGCGGCGCTGTTGAAATGTCTGTAAATGCGCCATTGTTAACCGGTCGATTTAGTCCAAAACTTATAAGCGTTGCACGTCAATGTACATTTTCAATTAGATTTTGATCACGCACTAGCACTGGACACCACAATACTTCAAAATGGGTCGCACGTATGTTTTAAATAATTTCACTGGCATCCGAAATGATATTTTCACGAAGGACTTTCTAAGGAGATATATAAGTGAATTGGCACGTTTGCATGTAGTTAGCACATGCTCAGACCAGGTTAAATCAGAAGTAATGGTTACACCCAAATCCGAATGAGACGTAACACTTTCAGTGCATAGTCGTTTAGTATTGTAGGCGAGGATTGTTTTTTCCCATATACAAAACTACACATTTGCTAACATTTAACGGCAGTAACCAGTCGTTGCACCATTTTCCAATAGAATTGACATCGTTTTGTAGTAAGTTATGTTTCAGCAGTGGATTTGCATACATTTTGGTGTCGTCCACATAAAAAGACTTACAGGTGTGAATATGTAAGGCGAGGTCACTGGCATATACTAAAAATGACAGAGGGCATAGCACCGATCCCTGAGGTACTCCACTAGTGACCTGTCGATCAGAGGAATGTGACTATCCAACTTTGACACTAAAATATCTATTGGCAAGATAATTTTCGATCCACTTGTTCAAATTGCCTCGGATACCAAAGTGTTCTAGTTTAAATAATAGTATTTCATGAGGTACCCTATCGAAAGGTTTCGCAAAATCCAGATATATAATGTCCACAGGAATATTGGAATCAAGTACTTTTTGACCAATCACTAGTACACGCAAACAGGTTAGTTATGGTAGATTTGCCCTTAACAAATCCATATTGTTCATTGGGTATAATTTGATGTTCTGTTAGAAATTCGGAAATTGCGTTAACCATGATAGCTTCCATGACCTTAGATGGGACTGATAAAAGACTAATGGGGCGATAGTTTGAAGGTTCCATTGTCGCCTTTTTTGAAAATAGGTGTGACTGATGCTATTTTTTACTGACCTGGTAGGGCTGATGTTTAAAATGATAAATTCATATTTATTGAAAGGGGCGTACTAAGAAAATCATTCTTTTTTAAAAAGAAGGAATTCAATCGATCCAGTCCGGGTGAGGAGTGGTTTTTCAGTTCCATAATGTGCTTTTTGACAATTTCGGGGGTAAACGATACATCGCTTAAGGTGCTATTTAAACGTGGAGCTACAACTTCCGGAATCGTATTGCTATTTGCTTCGTTTGTAAAATTTAAGCTGAATGTTTCTGCCAAAATGTGGAACTGAGATAACCATCAGCTTTTCGTAACACGGATATATTTATATAGTTTTTTCGGATTGTCAGAGTTTGTAAGGATCTCTTCCTATTCCATTCTTGCCGAACGGATTGTAGCAGAAAGTATGTAAGAGAAGTTTCTGTGTACTTGATAGTCAGTTAGAACATTTAATTTTCTATATTTCATCCAGAGGTGGTGGAATGAGGAGATTGGTGAGGAAATAAAAATGAGAGACCAATTATACAAAAAAGCTGTAATAATACAAACAGACGAAGACTGGCAGAACTATAAACAGCAAAGAAATAAAGTTGTAACAATATTACGAACTACAAAGCTGAATTACTATGACGAAAAAAATAGATCAAGTAAAAGACAATGCTACCGAAATATGGAAAACACTTAAAAGTATCTTAGATTCGAAAGGAAAAGAGGATTTTAAAGATGAAATACTATTCAGTGGAAAACTGGTGACGGGTGGGGAAATATGTGAGAGGTTCAATGAGTTTTTCATAGATAGTATTGGGAACATTGCGAAGAGTATAAATCACACTAAAACACCCAAAGAAACTGTGGAAATCATAAGTATCCAAAGTAAAATGGAGAAGTTCGATAGCTCAGATGGCATTACCATTAGTGTACTTAAAGCAGCATTTGAAACAATATGAGACAAAATTCAAAATTTAGTTAATTGTAGTTTGGACAATTTCCAGATAACTGAAGACAAGTACTGTCGTTCCTATAGAAAAGAAGAAGGCAACCATACTCTGTGAGGAGTTTAGACCCTCTCCCTTCCACTTCTCCAACCTCTTAATTTAAAATAGAGAATATACCATGTACATTGAAAAGGTAATTTTATTGGAGATGCAGAAATATGACTGTTCATTGCGTTATTTTTAATTTTAGGGTCCTCTAGCAGGATAAAAACTATTACGTATTATAAAGTGTGACACTTCTTTTGAAAGCTAATTTAATTAATAATTCAATGCACTCCATAACATTAATATAAATATCTCCATATTACCCTTGCAAAAATTAGTCAAGCTATTATTTTAATTATTGCTAACTTTATTTTGTTGCAATTGCAGTATGGAGATATTTAGATTAATGTAGTGCATTGAATTGGTATTAAAATTAGCTTTCAAATGATGTGTCACACTTTATAATGCGTAATCGTTTTTTATCCCGCTAGAGGGCGCTAAAATTAAAAGTAACGTATGGAAGTCATATTTTTGAATCCCTAGCAGCACACTTATATGGGAACCATAAGGTTTGCAAATGTGGTTTTGAGATTGGAATGTAACGCTTTCATTTATGGTTCCCATATGGTTTTCCAATATGGTTTTCCGATCAGGTTCCAATATGGTTTTCCAATCATGTTCAAATATCGTTTTTCAATCAGGTTCCAATATGGTTTTTCAACCAGGTACCAATATGGTACACACTTATATGGGAACCAAAAAGTTTGCAAATGTGGTTTTAAGATTGTAATGTAAGGCTTTTATTTATGGTTCCCATATGGTTTTTCTATCAGGTTCCAATATGATTTTCCAATCAGGTTCCAATATGGTTTTCCAATATCGTTTTTCAATCAGGTTCCAATATGGTTTTCCAACCAGGTACCAACATGGTTTTTAAATCAGGTTTTAATATGATTTTTAAATCACGTTTTAATATGGTTTTATAACCACCTTCCAATATGGCTTTCAAAGTTACGGAATTGGTTAAGAAGGTACAAAAAAAAATTATTATTTGAATTTGTTATACCTATATTTATTAAAAAATTAAAACTAATATTGATACATAAAGAAAGATTTAAAAAATAATATATAAAAAAATTAAATTTAAAAAAGAATGTATGTACAATTACTATAAAGTACATATTAAATAAATAGGTTCTATGGCGGGCGATACCCAACTCGGCACACCAAGCAGGGGCTCGATTCTCGAGTTCATTGGAAAATTTTCCCATGGGAAAAGATTCCACTACTTATATTCCCATGGTAATAGGTTATGCAATTCTCGAACTTGTCGGAATAGACATTCCCATGGAAATAATAGTTTCACGTATGTCTGATATTAAGTTCACGAATATTTCGAAATAACCAATAACATTAAAGATATTTTAAAATTTACTGTTGGTATTATTTGTATTTGTTGTGGTTTTTGGGTAACCGATTACCTGCCGAGCCTCTGCGCTGGAGCAGATGCCGTGCCGAGCAATCGCTAGCTTGACCGAGGACAAGTGAAAATATTCGATTATGTATAATTAAAACTTATCGAGTTATTTTTAGTTTTTCTTTTCACATATTGAAAAAAGAAAAAGTAGCTTTTGTATAGAAGAGCAACGAAAGTTTCGAGAAACTATATATATAAGAAATTCTTTCGTTAACGGAAATAATAAAATTTTCGAAAAGGTCTTATTAAATTTACTACAAATTTCTCAATTTATGTTACCTATTTGCCAGTCCCTTAGCAGCTCCCACAATTTCTAACTAATTTAAGAAAATCAGTTTCTTAGTGAAAGAGAGGTAAAAATAATATACCCACATAAATAAAATAATATCAATTTATAAATACACAAAAAAAATGTTTTAACTACAATTTCACCAAAAATCCAAGATATCCAATAATCTTTGGTTATGTCTTAGTCTTTCGCGTGGTCTTTCGTCAATTTTCGACTTTAATGCGCAAACTCTAGTACAATTCCCATTGGAAAACACAATTTCCAATGCTCGCAAGCAGGGGAATATTTTCCCATACTTCTCATTGGAAAATATTCCACCGCTTATGCCGAGAATACGAAAACTGAATTCCCATGGGAAAATTTTATTTTCCCATGGGAATAAAAGTCGAGAATCGACCCCCAGGTAAACGGTACAGTTATAGCCCAAGTCGACACATAACTAACTATGCAGGTACTTTTTTCTATATAGCACAAGTCGGCACATAACTATGCAGATACTTTTTTCTATAGAGCCCAAGTCGGCACATAACTATGCAGGTACTTTTTTCTATAGAGCCCAAGTCGGCACATATCTATGCTGTTATGTATAGCCCATATAGACACTTTTTTTTTTACTGAGGAATAATTTCAATCATTTATTATACATATATAACTAATTGTTTTTTAACAATATCTACAGAACTCTGTTTATTTATTTATTTTTTGTTTGTTTTATTTTATATCACATTTTGGAATGTACAGGGACAATAATAAAACAATCATTAAATTTCTTTTAAAACGGTATTTATTACAAAACTACAAGATGGACATTCTACTAGCTATATCTTAAATTTAATACTAGATATACCTAATTATTTTATAAAGTTTTGACGAACAAGAGGACCACTAGTTATTATATGCGTAATAATATTCATATAGTCAAGTGTAGTCAGTTTATTATTTTTGTAGTCAGATATTTTTTTAGCAATAAAATTCTGTTTCTTTTTTGTATCAGTATTAATTATGTGAGGTGTATTAATGCTATTGCACTTAATATAAGTTTCAGATTGAACACTTAAAAGTTCGTTTACAAAAATAAATAAATTTGGATGTGTTTGATACAAGGAATTATTAAAATGTGAATGAAATGATTCACATGCATTTGTTGTCTTGTTAAGGTCTGCAGATGCATTTGCCCAAATATGTGGAGGAAATTTTGATTAATTTGTTAAGTATGTTTTCAAAAGATAATCGGAAAACTTTTCTAAACATTCGTTATTGGGTTTTAACTCGTACAGTTCCAGGAAATAAAAATCATCCACTTTTTCGGGTTCTAAAAATAGGAGACCAAAGCAATATCTCAGCCATTTACCATTTTCAGAATTTTTATTTTTATATTCTTAGCTAAGTCCAAGTTTTTGAATTTGTCGATACCAAGATTGGGTCAAATGAAATCTGCAGCCGGTTATTTTTACATTATTCCAAACTTGCAGTACTGCCTTATGAATACCTATCTCAAAATCTACCACAACTTCTTGCGGCCAGAATTGAAATTTATATTCTATGCATACATTTTTAATTTTTAACAAGCATATGTATTTTCACTCTTATCGTTTAGCAAACAAAATACCAGTGGAACATAATGTCCATTGAAATATCCATGAATCGAAAATAATTGCTTAAAAAATTTAGTGCAGTAAGAGAACGTTCCATCTACATAAATTATTTTTGATTTACATAAGAACTCCAAATTATTCTTACATGAAAAAATTACGAGATTTTCTCTGTTATCATTAATTAACAAAAACTGTTCATTCTTTGAAGTTTTTGGAGTTAGCAAATTTAAAGCTTCGTGAACTTCCCCAATAGATTTTGGCAAAGCTGGCACCAACTTCCGCCGGGCGTAATATATGTTTTTTCTTACGCAATGTATGTGTTTTGACGTTAGATTCATCATATTTGTACGCTGCTCACAAAGTTCTTTTCTTATCACTTTTGCTGGTTTTTCTGCAATGTCGCTCTCAGCTTTTCTTTTGGTTGAATATGTCAATATTTGCCTTTCCAAAACATTTATTTCATCCTGCTCCTGCATATGGTTTGCATTCAAACTCGTTATGAGTCGATCACCCAAAGTATGAATGAAGGCTTTGCACTTGTGTTTGATACATCTCCATTTAGATTATCCAGAAGATAGTTTTCGAAAATGTTTCTTGTACTTGAAGTTATTTAGTACTAATAACATTTTCCCCCTTTGACTGTACATTTCCTTCAAATCTCCAGAACTAGCCATGTCTCTGTTTTTACACTTTTATACACTCTTTACTCAATAACTAACGAAAGTAAACTAATAGTTGAAGATTGACATAATTCACAACTCGAGTTCCCGTAAGCTATGAATTTAATTAGGTACCTACCTCCTACGCCCGATGGTCTGCACTTAAAAGGATTACACTTAAATATTATGTTTTGATATTTCTTATGAATAGACAAAACTGAAATTATCTGTATTATGAAGTTTTAAAAATCTCACCTAGGATTATGATAGTTAATTCTTTCTAAACTATTGATATTTAGATTATTTATTTTAGATATTCCTATTTTATAACAAATATATGTTTACTAATAACATTTTGATAGTTCCAAATTTCAATTTTTGTCATTGATATCGACCTTTTTTTATTGAAAGTTGCAAAATTGTTTAGCTAGGTACTAGTTGTCTCTTTGATAAGATATAAAATTGATCATAGTATAGTGTGCCGAGATGGGATACACCCTTTCTATTACCTGTGAGTTCTGTGTGCCGAGATGGGTCATTACAAAAGGACCGGCAATGTGTCATAAAACTGACCGTAATTAAGTGTGCCGAGACGGGCTACACCCAATTCTTCTTTATTTTTACTAACTCTATGATTGGAACTCATTTCGAAAAACAAAATAGATTTTACTTTGCAAAAGAAATATTAATAAAACAATCGAAGCTCGCAAAATTCAAAAAAGCGGTAAAGAAATATACATATAATATCATATAAAAAATTACCAACTTACTTTGTTTTATGACTCTAAATAATATTCTGGAACCGGCGGCACTAAGGTCACTCTATACAACAAACTCGCAACAATAAAATGCAACAATAATTATCAATTAGAGACAGATAAATGAAAGACGCAATAAGAGTATAACAGCCACCCCCACCCTCATAAACCAGTCCAGTATGCGTCCAG